GTAATTGGTTGCACCAGATCTTATTTAGGGGTTTCATAGCAAAGGGGGTGAATACATATGCACGCACCACTTTTCCGTTATTTATTTAGTTATTTCTTTTATTTCACTTCACCAATTTGGACTATTTTGTGTATGTCCATTACATGAAATCCAAATAAAAATCCATTTAAATTACAGGTTGTAATGCAACAAAATAGGAAAAACGCCAAGGGGGATGAATACTTTTGCAAGGCACTGTATTCTGTGTTGTTACCGCATTCAACCCACATAATGCATTTATTGTTTAAAAAATAATCGAAACCGAAATCGAAAACCATTATTCTTTTTTAATAATCGAACTGAAACCGAACCGACCTCAAAAAGCACTAATCGCTCAGCACTAGTGACCACACACACGCATGCACACGCACGCACACACACACACACACATACACTGAGTTGACCTGTTTGGCTCTATCATGCACAGCCAGAGGCAAAAAGAGAGATATGAGAGAGAGAGAGGCAGAGAGCTGTAACCGTGGGAGGGATGGAGGGAGGGAGACGAATGGTCTGACAGACAGAGGCTGGAGAGAGGGAAGGAGACAGAGGGAGGGAGACTGATAGCCATACAGAGGGAATGAGGGAAGAGAGGGAGGAGAGTGGCATCCTAGCTGTTGATTAAGTGTTCCCATGCATGTTGACACAGAGGCAGGCAGGTACTGGATTGCTCTCCCCTGCACACATGCCAGGCAGGAGATTAAACAAACAGGATGCTGGGCAGGAATGTCTGAGTTATCTAGACTGACAGAGCTGACCAGTGCCCAGAGACACTCTAGGCCCGGACCAAGGTATCTAACCCAGACCCTAGCCAGACCCAGATGAAGGTAACTGGTAACCCAGAAAAGAGTCCCAAAACAAGCTTCAACTAGGGAGAGGGGTTCCCTGATGTTAGAGGTTAGGGTCTCAAGACTTACAGTACTGTTGAGATAAAGGATCTCCGATGTCTGTAAAGGCCTTCCCCTCTTCCCCTATTGTCTACAGCTCACTGGCTACCCAGGCTAGAGATGTAGGCCAACTCTTATTTAGAATATGTACAGAGAGAGAGATGAATGCTAGGCCCAGGCTTCTATAAGGGACATTTTATTTGTTACATGTGCCGAATACAACAAGTGTAGACTTTACCATGAAATGCTTACTTACGAGCACTTTCCCAACAATGCAGTTAAAAAGTAAGAACATTTGCAAATAGATAAAAATAAAATAGTAATACAATAAAATAACAATAACGAGGCTATATACAAGCTATATACAAGGAGTACAGGTACCGAGTCAGTGTACTGGGTACGAGGTAGATGGGGTGATTGATTGAGGTAATATGTACATGTAGGTTTGGTAAGGTGGTTGATTGAAGTACTATGTACATGTACACTACCGTTCAAAAGTTTGGGGTCACTTAGAAAACTCGTCAGTCTATTCTTGTTCTGAGAAATGAAGGCTATTCCATGCGAGAAATTGCAAAGAAACTGAATATCTCGTACAACGCTGTGTACTACTCCCTTCACAGAACAGCGCAAACTGGCTCTAACCAGAATAGAAAGAGGAGTGGGAGGCCCCGGTGCACAACTGAGCAAGAGGACAAATACATTAGAGTGTCTAGTCTCAACGTCAACAGTGAAGAGGCGACTCCGGGATGCTGACCTAGGCAGAGTTGCAAAGAAAAAGCCATATCTCAGTCTGGCCAATAAAAATAAGATTAAGATGGGCAAAAGAACACAGACACTGGACTTTTTCTTTGCAACTCTGCCTAGGTCAGCATCCCGGAGTCGCCTCTACACTGTTGACGTTGAGACTGGTGTTTTGCGGGTACTATTTAATGAAGCTGCCAGTTGAGGACCTGTGAGGCGTCTGTTTCTCAAACTAGACACTCTAATGTATTTGTCCTCTTGCTCAGTTGTGCACCGGGGCCTCCCTCTCCTCTTTCTATTCTGGTTAGAGCCAGTTTGCGCTGTTCTGTGAAGGGAGTAGTACACAGTGTTGTACGAGATCTTCAGTTTCTTGGCAATTTCTCGCATGGAATAGCCTTCATTTCTCAGAACAAGAATAGACTGACGAGTTTCAGAAGAAAGTTATTTGTTTCTGGCCATTTTGATCATGTATTCAAACCCACAATTGCTGATACTCAACTAGTCTCAAGAAGGCCAGTTTTATTGCTTCTTTAATCAGCACAACAGTTTTCAGCTGTGCTAGCATAATTGCAAAAGGGTTTTCTAATGATCAATTAGCCTTTTAAAATGATAAACTTGGATTAGCAAACACAACGTGCCATTGGAACACAGGACTGATGGTTGCTGATAATGGGCCTCTGTACGCCTATGTAGATATTACATAAAAAATCAGCTGTTTCCAGCTACAATCGTCATTTACAACATTAACAATGTCTACACTGTATTTCTGATCAATTTGATGTTATTTTAATGGACAAAAAAATTGCTTTTCTTTCGAAAACAAGGACATTTCTAAGTGACCCCAAACTTTTGAACGGTAGTGTAGGTAGGGGTGAAAAGCAGAAAGTCCGGGTAGCCATTTGATTAACTGTTCAGCAGTCGTATGGCTTTGGGGTAGAAGCTGTTCAGGAGCCTTTTGGTCCCAGACTTGGCACTCCAGTACCACTTGCCGTGCGGTAGCAGAGAGAACAGACTATGACTTGGGTGGCTGGAGTCTTTGACAATTCTTAGGGCCTTCCTCTGACACCGCCTGGTATAGAGGTCCTGGATGACGTATGCACTACCCTCTGTAGCGCCTTGCAGTCGGATGCCGAGCAGTTGCCATACCAAGCGGTGATGCAACCAGTCAAGATACTCTCAATGGTGCAGCTGTAGAACTGTTAGAGGATCTGAGGGCCCATGTCATTCTTTTCAGCCTCCTGAGGGGGAAGAGGCGTTGTCGTGCCCTCTTCATGACTGTGTTTGGACCATGATAGGTCCTTAGTGATGTGGACACCGAGGAACCTGGAGATCTCGACCGTCTCCACTACAACGTCTCGATGTGAATTGGGGCGTGCTCAGCACTCCGTTTCCTGTAGTTCACGATAAGCTCCTTTGTCTTGCTGACGTTGAGGGAGAGGTTGTTGTCCTGGCACCACACTGCCAGGTCTCATCGTCGTCTGTGATCAGGCCAACCACCGTCGTGTCGTCGGCAAACTTAATGATGGTGTTGGAGTCGTGCGTGGCCACGCAGTCGTGGGTGAACAGGGAGTACAGGAGGGGGCTAAGCTCTCATCCCTGAGGGGCCCCTGTGTTGAGGGTCAGCGTGGCGGACGTGTTTTTGCCTACCCTCACCTCCTGGTGGCAACCCGTCAGAAAGTCCAGTATCCAATTGCAGAGGGAGTTGTTTAATCCCAGGTTCCTTAGTTTTGTGATGAGCTTTGAGGGCACTATGGTGTTGAACACTGAGCTGTAATCGATGAACAGCATTTTCACGTAGGTGTTCCTTTTGTCCAGGTGGGAAAGGGCATTGTGGAGTGCAATAGAGATTGCGTCATCTGTGGATCTGTTGGGGCAGTATGCGAAATGGAGTTGGTCCAGGGTGTCTGGGGTGATGGTGTTGATGTGAGCCATGACAAGCCTTTCAAATCCTTTCATGGCTAGAAATGTGAGTAGTCATTTAGACAGGTTACCTTGGCATTCTTGGGCACGGGGACTATGGTGGTCTGCTTGAACCATAAGGGTATTACAGACTGGGTCAGGTTGAAAATGTCAGTGAAGACACTTGCCAGCTGGTCAGCCCATGTTCAGAGGACACGTCCTGTTAATCCGTCTGGCCCTGCAGCCTTGTGAATGTTAACCTGTTTTGATACAGTGTGTTACTGCCATCTAGTGGTAGTACATTACACATCTAAACTCGCTGGTTTTCTTTGCTTTCCTTTTCTTTTCTTTACATTTGACATGTTAGTCATTTAGCAGACGCTCTTATCCAGAGCGACTTACAGTTAGTGAATACATATTATTTTTTTATACTGGCCTCCCGTGGGAAACGAACCCACAACCCTGGCGTTGCAAACGCCATGCCCTATCAACTGAGCTACATCACTGCCGGCCATTCCCTCCCCTACCCTGGACGACGCTGGGCCAATTGTGCACCGCCCATGAGTCTCCCGGTCGCGGCCGTCTGCGACAGAGCCTGGATTCGAACCAGGATCTCTAGTGGCACAGTTAGCACTGCGATGCAGTGCCTTAGACCACTGCGCCACTCTCTACATTGATAGAGTGGAGTTATTCCATGTAACATGATTGTGACGATGCAAACTCACACCTTTCGTCCCTTCCCTCCATTACCCGTATTGTTTTTTAACTCACACCTTTCGTCCCTTCCCTCCATTACCCGTATTGTTTTTTAACTCACACCTTTCGTCCCTTCCCTCCATTACCCGTATTGTTTTTTAACTCACACCTTTCGTCCCTTCCCTCCATTACCCATATTGTTTTGTGTGTGTGTGTGTGTGTGTGTGTGTGTGTGTGCACCCGTGCACGTGTGTGTGCACATCATCACTGTTTCTGTGCTGCACATCGGGCCCTGTACACAGAGCATGTACTGCTGTCTGACTTTACGTCCTCCAGACCTCTAGAACTACACAGAACTGTCTGAGAAATGACAAACACATGAACATCTAACATCTCTCTCTCTCTCTCTCTCTCTCTCTCTCCTCTCGCCTCTACTCTCTCGTCTCAGCCCTCTCCCTAGTCTCTCTCTCCTCTCGCTCTCTCTCTCGTCTCTATCTGAAAGATATATCTATTCTATCTCGCTCTCCGTCTCTTCTCACTCTCCTTCCTTCTCATCTCTCTCTCCTCTCCTCTCTCTCCTCTACTCTCACTCACTCTCTCTCTCTCTATCTCTCTCTATCTCTCTCTCTCTCTCTCTTCTCTCTCTTGTTTTCTCTCTCTTCTCTGTATTTCTCTCCTATCTCTCAAACACGACTACTCTACCATACAGGCGTAATCATGGTTGTGCAGCGGGATCAAAGTGTGACTGCAGCGGAGTGAAAGGAGGCAAGGTGAGTGTGAAACACACACACACCTAATGACCTACTGTAGAAAACAACCATAACATGACATATTATTTAATTGTTTGATTTGTAATGACTCTTTTGTCTGTGTGCTATCTGCAGGGTAAGAAGCGTTTGTAATGACTGTGTGTTCTATGTGTAATGTTCTATGTTTAATGTTCTATGTGTGATGTTCTACGTGTAATGTTCTATGTGTGATGTTCTACGTGTAATCTTCTATGTGTGATGTTCTACCTGTGATGTTCTACGTGTAATGTTCTACGTGGAATGTTCTATGTTCTATGTTCCACAGGGCGAGAGGGGTTTCCCAGGACTACAGGGTCAGCCAGGCGTACCAGGGTTCCCCGGACCTGAGGGGCCAATCGGAGGCAGGGGAGAGAAGGTAGGGGCCGCTTCCTGGATCTTGTTGTAGGAGCAACAGAACACCTGACCATATCTGGGAATGATGCACTTGAAAACGAATCCTCTTCTCTCCCTCTCTCTCCCTCCTCTCCCCCTCTGTCTTTCTCTCTCACAGGGTAGTGACGGACCTTCAGGGCCATCCGGTCCAAAAGGAATTAGGGTGAGTGACCCAGATTTATTAACTTGACAAAGTCCCACACTTCTGTCTGTAATATTTCCACTTTCAGTGTACGCCATCAAGGAGTGTAGTACTTTCCCCTGTCCATCAGAGGTCCTTGTTTCACTCCAAGCAAAACAGAAGCTCCATGCCTTAGTATTGACATAGCTGGTTCTGAATTGAATTGAATGCATCATTACACAAAGTCATCATAACTTATGTTATTAATTTATCCTCCTTGTTATTCCCACAGGGACCTCCTGGACTGCCCGGATTCCCAGGAACACCAGGAATTCCAGTAAGTTTCCAACCATTCCCAGTTCTCATCTATTGTAGCGTACCTGTCTGCATCCCTTCTGGTACAGAGATGAGTCCCAATTTTCCACCATGCAATTGCACACTTTCTCGCATGCATTTTTCTCCAGCCATTTTTCTTACACTAACCCCATGCTTTTACATGAATGACGGGGAGTGTGCAAGTGCACACTTCTGGAAAAGGGTGGAGAATTGGGATACTGCCATGATGGAACCTATACTGAACTTTCTCTGGTTGTTGTTTTACATTACCTGATATCCAGTATGTCATGTGACCTCACTTCCTGTCTGATGTCTAACTTCCTGTTGTCCTCTGTGTGTTCTCCTCTAGGGTCTCCCAGGACAGGACGGGCCCCCGGGCCCAAGAGGAACTGCAGGCTGCAACGGGACTAAGGTAGGTTACTATGGTTACTACTGACTGACAGCCATTCAACTCTGTCGAGTCCTGAGAGAACTTGGGTTCTCCTGAATCTGGACTGAAACTGGCATACTGTTCTATCACACCTGGCCACTAAAAGGCAGCAAATAGGAAAAGTAACCTATGGGCTGGAGACTGTTGATGCAAAATTAAAGGATTGATTATGTCTCTTCTTAGGGTGAGAGAGGCTTCCCTGGAAGTCCAGGCTTCCCTGGACTGGAGGGCCGATCGGTGAGTCACACACACACACACACTTCTCTGTCCTCTCATACACCTACATCCAGGTTTTCCCCCGGCCTCTTAAATGCTGCATATTACTGAACATTTTACTGACTCCACATGATGTATTTTTGACTGTTGTTTGTATGATATTGTTTAACCTATTTGTGTGTTATACGTGCTGCTCTCGCATCAGGACAGGTCGTCATTATAAATAAGAATGTGTTCTTAATTAACTTACCTGTATGAAATATAAATACACCTGTCCACTTTGTAATTTCTCTGTGTGGAAACTTGGGAAAGGAAACGAATGAGACTTTGAAATGTATTCCTTCTCTCTCTGCTCGTTTGCAGGGTCCACCTGGTTTTCCAGGACAAAAGGTTACTATTCTTTCAACACTGTTCTTAACTGTTATTATCTTTCGATCAAATACTGTACATTTACCAGGCCTATCTGTCTGTGCTAGTAGTTATATTTCTGTAGCTAGGGCCTGTGTGATGTGTTCCTTTCTAACCTCCTCCTGTTGTCCCTCTACAGGGAGATCCAGGTGATGTCATCTCAAGTGACCGCTTTGGACAGACAGGAGGTGTAGGTCTACCTGGTGTGCCTGGAGTTCCTGTGAGTATTCTATATAGAACCATATAACCACTTTGAACTTAACTGATTTAAAAAAGGATTAAAAAAAAGGATCCTATACGTCAGTCCTTACCCACCCTGCTGATAAGGGTGGGTCGGTTGTACTCATGGATAGGACAGATTGACAACTGCTTGACAACACCTTTTACAACAAACTCAGAAGTGACCCCACTTCCGAATTTCAGAACACTTTTTTATTGGAACAGACCACAGAACAGCTCCCCTCCTTTGTAAAGGACACCAGCAGTATGATCTATATTACTGAATCTCTTGATCCTCTCTCCCTGATAATACCTTGTTAGTTACTTTTGACGTTGAGTCGTTATACACAAAAAGTTTCTAAATGACTTCTTTATTCAGACAAAGGGTACTGCTATGGGGTCCCCTATGGCTCCTAACTATGCTAATTTGTATGTGGGTTAAATGGAGAAACAGTCAATTTTCAATCCTTTCAAAAATGTTTTCTTGCCTAACATTATTATTTGGAAACGGTACGTTGATGATATTTTTGTTCTATGGAGAGGTGATTCAAAACAGCTCCAGGCATTCCATGCTTTTCTTAACTCTTGTACTGAGCACCTGAGATTTACTATGCAATCTGACACAAGTCAAATTAGTTTCTTTGATCTTCTGATTTTGTGTGAGGATAATGTTCTATACACTGATCTTTACAGGAAACCTACTGATCGTAACAGTTTGTTGAGGGCTGATAGTTGTCACCCGCTTCCCTTGAAAAACAGTTTGCCCTACAGCCAATTCTGTCGAATCAAAATAATTTGTAAAAAAACAATCAGATTTCGACCGAAATATAGCTGAGACGCAAAGAAAATTCAAGGAGAGGGGGTACAAAAATGGTCAGATTAATACTGCCATTGAGAAAATTCTAAACAAAACGAGACATGATCTCTTTCAAGGATAGTCTTGTAAAAATAAGCATTATTGCGTTCTAACAACACGCTATTCAAAATGCTCTGAATAAATGAAGGGAATTGTTTCAAAAACATTGGCACATTCTAAGATCCGATGACAGTATCGGTAATGTGTTTTCGGACCCTCCCTTGTTAGTATTCCCGCTGGGCAGAAATCTCAGAGATCAATTGGTAAACTCTGATTTACCACCCCAAAATATCTCTGCACAACGTTTATTTGCGCCTCTACCAGATGGAAACTACAAGTGTAATGGTTGCGCTCAATGCAATGGCACTTACAAATATAGATCCTTCAAACACCCCCAAACAGGGAAACAGATCCCAATAAAAGGTGTTATCACGTGTGCCACTAAGGCAGTTATTTATCTTATAACTTGTCCTTGTGGTAAAAATTATGTGGGTAAAACAAAGCGTGAATTAAAAGTACGAATCTCGGAGCATCGTAGCACCATTAGGTGCAAAAACTCGACGTACCCAGTCGCAGTCCACTTTTTGGAAGCGAACCACTTGATTTCGTCCCTACATTATATCGGCATCGAACATGTCACCCTCCCTAGGTGACCTCGACAACTTATTGTTAAAACGAGAGGCTGCCTGGATCTTTAATTTAAAGACCCTTGCTCCCTTCGGTCTCAACGTAAACTTTGATTTGAAGCCATTCTTGTAATTATTGTGATTTTGCTATTCATTGTAAATGTTTGTATGCCTATGTAGCCAAATTGTATTTATGATCGTATGCTATCCATTCATGTTTTTTGTCTTTTTTGTATGTTATGTTTATCTGTGAATTAACCAATGAAATCAGGCCACACCCGGCCATGATTACAGACACCTGTGTGTGTCCTTTGACACTATATAAACTAGTGACCCGCAGTGTTTGTCATTATACCCTGATGAAGACAGCTTGTCTGTCGAAACGTTGGTTATTAGGTTATTAAATTATGGCATCTGAGCTCCTAGTGTGAGACTCTCCTTTTCTTTTTCAAGTGTTCTACTCCATTAGCCAGCACCTCGCCTAAATAGGTGTGCATTTCTTCCGCCTCCTAAGTATTCTATATAGAACCATAGAACCACTTTGAACTTAACTGATAAAAAGAAGAAGGAAAAAAAAGGAATTAGACTTTGTCAAGCGATTTGTCTTATCAAATGGTAGGCTAATGTAATATATTGCTCATAGTTGGATGATCAGAATCAATAAAACGAATGGTAAATGATTATGAGAGATCCGTGGAGGCTGCTGAGGGGAGGACGTCTCATAATAATGTCTGGAACGGAGCGGATGGAATAGCATCAAACCACGTATTTGATCTATTTGATACCTTTCGACTCATTCCGCTCCAGCCATTACCACGAGCCCGTCCTCCCCAATTAAGGTGCCACCAACCTCCTGTGTGAGAGATGTCATGTAAACCTTTCAACACATTGCTTTGTGTGTAACGTTTGTGGTGTCTGTCTTGTTTCTAGGGTAACCCAGGCCCTGCAGGATTGTCAGGTCCTGTCGGTCCACCTGGACCCAGAGGTTATGAGGTACGCTGATACAGGAGTTCTTCAACTTTTTCAGCTCGAGACCCAAATGAGATAATGAACTTCCTCCCGTGACCCAAATCGTCAACCAATGACCTAATTTAAGAAGAAATAGTGTGGAATTATAGATGTATTCTCATAACTTGTGACCTACCTTTCATATGCCCAGGGCACACTTTGGGTCCCAACCCATAGTTTAAGAAAACCCTGAGGTACAGTTACACCCCAAATCGTCTTAACTGCCACTTGTCCGATATGTTCTGAGGGACTTTATACAGTCAAACTGGTCCCAGACCTGTTACAAACGTTATGTGCTGAGGGACTTTACACAGTCAAACTGGTCCCAGATCTGTTAAAAACATTATGTTCTGAGGGACAGTCAAACTGGCCTCAGACCTGTTGTGACATCCAGTAGTGTGTTTGTGATCTGAAGTCTCACAGATCAAGATAAGAACTTATCCAATGTATTTTAGGGAATAATAATGTTTTATTGTACTATCAATAGTTATACAGTATACCGTGCGTTGTTAAAACAGTTGTGTGTGTTGTTGTTAATAATGTTTTGTGTGTTGTTAATAAAGTGTTGTGTGTTGTTTTGTAGGGTCGTAGCGGGCCTCCTGGTCCTCCTGGTCCTAAGGTGAGTTGCTTTACACCCTGAATCACACACACACACACACACACACACACACACACACACACACACACACACACACACACACACACACACACACACACACACACACACACACACACACACACACACACACACACACACACACACACACACACACACACACACACCCTGGGGCAGCAGGTAGCCTAGCGGTTAGAGCGACTAGGTGACTAGGTGAAAAATCTGTCGATCTGCCGTTGAGCAAGGCACTTAACCCTAATTGCTCCAGGGTTGCTGTCAATAATGGCTGATCTCTGGCCGTGACCCCACTCTCCGAGGGTGTCTCAGGGGGAGTGGGATATGCAAAAATATATACTTTCCATTCACACCACACACTAGTACAGGTTACACACTTGTACATGTGTGAAACAGGACAAATTGAAGCACCCCGTATTTGACCTTTGACACACACACACACTGATACTAAACTCTGGTCAATTATGTGTACCACACTCAGTTCAACTACTGTACACACACTTGCCCATACACTCCTAATGTACACTGCTCAAAAAAATAAAGGGAACACTTAAACAACACAATGTAACTCCAAGTTGATTTCTGTGAAATCAAACTGTCCACTTAGGAAGCAACACTGATTGACAATACATTTCACATGCTGTTGTGCAAATGGAATAGACAACAGGTGGAAATTATAGGCAATTAGCAAGACACCCCCCAATAAAGGAGTGGTTCTGCAGGTGATGACCACAGACCACTTCTCAGTTCCTATGCTTCCTGGCTGATGTTTTGGTCACTTTTGAATGCTGTCGGTGTTTTGGTCACTTTTGAATGAGGGCCCGACGTCCACAGGTGGGGGTTGTGCTTACAGCCCAACCCCGAGCAGGACGTTTGGCATTTACCAGAGAACACCAAGATTGGCAAATTCGCCACACCAAGATTGGCAAATTCGCCACTGGCGCCCTATGCTCTTCACAGATGAAAGCAGGTTCACACTGAGCACATGTGACAGACGTGACAGAGTCTGGAGACGCCGTGGAGAACGTTCTGCTGCCTGCAACATCCTTCAGCATGACCGGTTTGGCGGTGGGTCAGTCATGGTGTGGGGTGGCATTTCTTTGGGGGGCCGCACAGCCCTCCATGTGCTCGCCAGAGGTAGCCTGACTGCCATTAGGTACCGAGATGAGATCCTCAGACCCCTTGTGAGACCATATGCTGGTGCGGTTGGCCCTGGGTTCCTCCTAATGCAAGACAATGCTAGACCTCATGTGGCTGGAGTGTGTCAGCAGTTCCTGCAAGAGGAAGGCATTGATGCGATGGACCGCCCGTTCCCCAGACCTGAATCCAATTGAGCACATCTGGGACATCATGTCTCGCTCCATCCACCAACGCCACATTGCACCACAGACTGTCCAGGAGTTGGCGGATGCTTTAGCCCAGGTCTGGGAGGAGATCCCTCAGGAGACCATCCGCCACCTCATCAGGAGCATGCCCAGGCGTTGTAGGGAGGTCATACAGGCACGTGGAGGCCACACACAATACTGAGCCTCATTTTGACTTATTTTAAGGACATTACATAAAAGTTGGATCAGCCTGGTAGTGTGGTTTTCCACTTTAATTTTGAGTGTGACTCCAAATCCAGACCTCCATGGGTTGATACATTTGATTTCCATTGATAATTTTTGTGTGATTTTGTTGTCAGCACGTTCAACTATGTAAAGAAAAAAGTATTTAAAAAGATTATTTCATTCATTCAGATCTAGGATGTGTTGTTTAAGTGTTCCCTTTATTGTTTTGAGCAGTGTATATTACTGTATTGTACATAATTATACCTGCAGTCTTTAAGTAAAGTGATACAGAATACAGTAATACATGTTATTAATATTATATTATATTATATTAATATATTACATGTGTTTGTCTTGTTATTCTTCTACTATAGGGTAACATGGGGTTGAACTTCCAAGGTCCAAAAGGAGATAAGGTGGGGTCAGCAAGAGAAAGACTGTCATCAATGGGTGGTAACGATTTGCACTACTGAATACTGATGAGTTTGTGTGTGTGTGTGTGTGTGGGTGGGTGTAGGGTGATCCAGGTCTGCGGGGGCCTCCCGGTCCACCAGGACAGGTCGGGGAGCAGAAGAGACCCTCAGAGTTAGAAATCCAGAGAGGAGAGAAGGTAATGTCCTACATTTCACGTTTTCCCTGATTATTCAGGAATTCCTACCGTTGTTTTTACCTCAGAAACTCCATGGATTTACATAGAATCACTGAATTATTAGGATCTCTATAAAGTTAGTATCATCTGCATCATCATTCAAAATGGACCAGTATACATTTTCCCCTTTCTCATTTTTTAAATTGTCATTTGTAGATCTTGTAGAACATCAATAGTGGTTTAGTCGTTTCTGTTATGACATGTAATGTAAACTGCCAGCCATGAGTGTGCTCCTGTTTGGCTGTAACTGGACGCAGGTTTATGTTTATTGGGACGAGTCTTGTCCTGGAGGCAAAACTGAGCGATTTCCGCTATGGGCCAGCTGCAAAGTCAAAATTGGCTATATTGTAAAGATGAATGGAAACGAAACTGAGCTTTTTGGTCTTAATTTAAGGTTAGGGTAACTGGACTGGCCCTAGTGTTCTATCATGTTTCACAACCCGGTGACAGCACCACCTTGCCTTTTAGTTTCCTGTAATTGCAACTCTCATAATGACCACTAGATGGTGGCACTCAGCCTCTTTATAAGAACTTCCATTGCCCTATATTACTGGGTAGTCCAACTTGATATACCCCTCAATCGCTTAGCATTTAATTGTGAAAGGTATTGATTTCTTTTAAAATATCAGATTTTAAACCTTTTGACATGATGTCTACATTCTTAACTATTCATGAAAACTGAATTAACAATATGTTATGGATTTTACAATTTGTTGTTGTTATTTCCTTATTTGTTTCCAGGGTGATCAAGGTTTACCTGGTCCAGCTGGTGATCTTGGTTATCCTGGACCCCCTGTGAGTATCACTCACTATCCATCATACGATACAGTATATCTCACAGGAGTGTGGTGGCACCTTAATTGGTGAGGACGGGCTCGTGGTAATGACTAGAGCAGAATAGGTGGAATGCAATCAAATACATCAAACACATAGTTTCCATGTGTTTGATGCCATTCCATTTACTCCGTTCCAGCCATTATTATGAGCCATCCTCCCATCAGCAGCCTCCACTGGTATATCTATGTTTTCACTCACCTATAATACTATATAGAGTGCATATCATAAGTAATCATCCCCTTTGGATTTCTTCACATATTATAGTGTTACAAAGTGATATTAAAATGGATTTAATTGTTATTTTTCTGTCAACAATCCCCCCCCCCCCCAAAAAAAGAATACAGTGTAGAGCACGGCGCTTGTAACGCCAAGGTAGTGGGTTCGATCCCCGGGACCACCCATACACAAAAATGTATGCACGCATGACTGTAAGTCGCTTTGGATAAAAGCGTCTGCTAAATGGCATATTATTATTATTATTATTATTATATTATTAAGTATTCACCCTCCTGAGTCAATACATGTTATAAACACCTTTGGCAGCGATTACAGCTGTGAGTCTTTTTGGGTAAGTCTATTACGGCTTTGCAAACCTGGATTGTGCAATATTTGGCCATTATTATTATTGCCCATTATATGTCAAGTTGGTTGTTGATCATTGCTAGACATCCATTTTCAAGTCTCGCTATAGATTTTCAAGCAGATTTAAGTCAAACTGTAACTTGGCCACTCAGGAACATTTACTGTCTTTGTGATAAGCAACTGCAGTGTAGATTTGGCCTTGTGTTTTAGGTTATTGTCTTGCTGAAAGGTGAATTTGTCTACCAGTGTCTGGTGGAAAGCAAACGGAACCTCTATGATTTTGCCTGTGGTTAGCTCCGTTCTGTTTCTTTCTATCCTGAAAAACTCCCTGGTCCTTGCCGATGACAAGCATACCCATAGCATGATGCAGTCACCATCATGCTTTAAAATATGGAGAGTGGTACTTGGTCATGTGTTGTGTTGGATATGCACCAAACATAAGACTGTATTCAGGACAAAAAGTTCATTCCTTTGACACATTTTCTGCAGTGTTACTTGTTTAGTGCCTTGTTGCAAAAAGGATGCATGTTTTGGAATATTTTTATTCCGTACATGCTTCCTTTTTTTCACTCTGTCATTTAGGTTAGTATTGTGGAGTAACTACAATGCTGTTGATCCATCCTCAGTTTTCTCCTATCACAGCCTTTAAACTCTGTAACTTTTTTTAAGTCACCATTGGCCTCGTGGTGAAATCTCTGAGCGGTTTCCTTCCTCTCTGGCAACTGAGTTAGGAAGGACTGGGTGCTATTGATACACCATTTAAGGTCTAATTAATAACTTACCATGCTAAAATGGATATTCAGTGTCTGCTTTTTTTTTTACCCATCTACCAATCGGTGCCCTTCTTTGTGAGGCATTGGAAAAGCCCCCTGGTCTTTGTGGTTGAATCTGTGCTTGAAATACACTACTCGACATTACAGATAATTGCATGTGTGGGTTACAGAGATGATCATTATTATATGATTTCTTAAGCAAATTCTGACTCCTGAACTTATTTAGGATTGTCATAAAAAGGGGGTGAATACTTATATAACCAAGACATTTTATCTAGTATATTTTTATTTCTTTATAGAATTTTCTTTTCACTTTGACATTATGAGGTGTTTTATGTAGATCATTGTACATTTTTTCCCACAATTATCCATTTCAATCACACTGTGTAACGCAAAAAAAATTGAAAAAATCCAAGGGGGGTGAATACTTACAGTATGATATGCACTGTATCTATGTTTCACTAAGTATCTATACCACTCTATATCTATGTTTTCACCCAGTATCTATCATACTATCTAAGTTTTCACTCAGTATCTATAATACTATATTTCAGTTTTCACAAACTATCTATCATACTATCTACAAAAGTATGTGGACATGCCTTCAAATTAGTGGATTTGGCTATTTCAGCCACACCTGTTGCTGATAGGTGTATAAAATCGAGCAGACAGCCATGCAATCTCCATAGACAAACATTGGCAGTAGAATGGCCCATACTGAAGTGCACAGTGACTTTCAACGTGGCACCGTCATAGGATGCCACCTTTCCAACAAGTCAGTTTGTCCAATTTCTGCCCTGCTAGAGCTGCACCAGTCAACTCTAAGTGCTGTTATTGTGAAGTAGAAATGTCTAGGAGCAACAACACCTCAGCCGCAAAGTGGTAGGCCACACAAGCTCACAGAACGGGACAACCGAGTGCTTAAGCATCTGTCCTCGGTTGCAACACTCACTACCAAGTTCCAAACTGCCTCTGGAAGCAACGTCAGCACAATAACTGTTTGAGGGGAGCTTCATGAAATGGGTTTCCTTGGCCGAGCAGCCGCACACAAGCCTAAGATCACCATGCTCAATGCCAAGCGTCGGCTGGAGTGGTGTAAAGCTCGCCACCATTGGAGTCTGGAGCAGTGGAAACGCGTTCTCTGGAGTGATGAATAACGCATCACCATCTGGCAGTCCGACGGACTAATCTGGGTTTGGTGGATGCCAGGAGAACGCTACCTGCCCGAATGCATAGTGCCAAATGTAATGTTTGGTGGGGGAGGAATAATGGTCTGGGGCTGTTTTTCATGGTTCTGGCAAGGCCCCTTAGTTCCAGTAAAGGGAAATCTTAACACTACAGCATACAATTACATTCTAGACGATTCTGTGCTTCCAACGTTGTGGCAACAGTTTGGGGAAGGCCCTTTCCTGTTTCAGCATGACAATGCCCCCGTGCACAAAGCGAGGTCCATACAGAAATGGTTTGTCGAGATCGGTGTGGAAGAACTTGACTGGCCTGCACAGAGCCCTGACCTTAACCCCATCGAACACCTTTGGGATGAATTGGAAAGCCGACTGCGAGCCAGGCCTAATCGCCCAACATCAGTGCCCAACCTCACTAATGCTCTTGTGGCTGAATGGGAGCAAGTCCCTGCAGCAATGTTCCAACATCGAGTGGAAAGCCTTCCCAGAAGAGTGGAGGCTGTTATAGCAGCAAAGGGGGGACCAACTCCATATTAATGCCCATGATTTTGGAATGAGATGTTCGACGAGCAGCTGTCCACATACCTTTGGCCATGTAGTGTATCTACGTGCCCTATACACCTGCAAAATACTGTATATTTTGTGACACATTTTAAAAAAAATCATGTTCTCTGGTCAGTGGACTAGGCATCTGAATAATGCAAGACACTATAATAACAAATCAATCAAACCAATCAATCTATAGTAGTGTGTGTATGATAACTGTCTGATGTTGGGTTTGCAGGGTGTATCTGGAGGTTCGAAGGGAGCGAAAGGAGAGCCTGGAGAAGCAGGCAAACGGGGCAAACCAGGGAAAGATGGCGACCCAGGTCCTGCTGGATTCCCTGTGAGTTCTACCCACAGAACTAGAATGATTCTATACATTCTATTTCTATGGTTCTTATAGACAGCTGTCTGTATCTCTTTTCTGTATATCTTTTTGCATGTCTGACAAGGCCACTTGTATTACTGATACAGTGTTATTTGGGTTGTTAATTGGATTCGTTCTGACATGTATTTATTGATTTGTATTATTTGTGTACTTGTTTGACATTTTACTGAACTGTTAAGAGCTAGTAACACAAGGATTTCGCTGCACCCATTATAACATCTGCTAACTGTTACAACTCTACGCAACCAATAAACTTTGATTTGATTTGGTAAAGCGAAGTGAGATAATGACATTCTGAGATAATGACTCTCTCGCTTTCTCTCTTTCTGTCTCTCTCTCTTTTTCTCTCTCTTTCTTTCTCTCTCTCTCTCTCTCTCTCTCGCGAGCTCTCTCTCTCTCCCTGTCTCGCTACCTCACTCACTCGCTCGCTCTCTCTCTATCGCTCTCTCTCCATGTTTCTTTCTCTCCATGTTTCTCTCTCTCTCGCTCTCATTTTAATTCAAAGGGCACTATTGGCATGGGAAACAAATAGACAGATACAAATAGATAATAAAGAAAAGTGAAATAAACAATCAGAAATTAACAGTAAGCATTACACTCACAAAAATTTCAAAGGAATAGAGACATTTCAAATGTCATTCTCTCTCTCTCTCTCTCTCTCTCTCTCTCTCTCTCTCTCTCTCTCTCTCTCTCTCTCTCTCTCTCTCTCTCTCTCTCTCTCTCTCTCTCAGGGTAGTAAAGGAGAACAAGGCGGTCCAGGTCTGCCAGGTCGGGATGGTGACATGGTGAGTTTGGCCTCTGATGCTATTTTACAAATACAATAAACTAGATCTACAAATACATAAACTGTTGGGGGCGGCAGTAGCCTGGTGGGTAGGAGCGTTGGGCCAGTAACTGAAAGGTTGCTGGATCGAATCCCAGAGTTGACAAGGTAAAATGTGTATTTCTGCCCCTGAGCAAAGCAGTTAATCCCCAACAACAACTGCCCCCCGGGCGCCAATGACGTGGATGTTGATTATGGCAGCCCCCCCACACCTCTCTGATTCAGAAGGGTTGGGTTAAATGTGGAAGATACATTTTAGTTGAATGCATTCAGTTATACAACAATTGTCCTCCTCCATCTCTTCTCTCACTTATCCCATCCATCTCTCTCACTCTCTATCTGTTTCTCTCTCAGGGGGACAAAGGTGACCGTGGATACCCTGGACCTCCAGGCGTGGTGAGAAATCAAACTATCTATTTATCTATTCATTCAGTTGTATTACAATCATCATTCTCGTATGTCATTCTTTGTGGGCCAATGGTTGCCTCCCGTAGTTTTAGACATTGTCCATTAGATGGCAATATAACCCTGACAGTTGCAATGTAACCTACTCTAGCCCCTGCATCCTGTAATATTTCACTGTAACCACCAGATGGCAATAGTAACCTTTCTATCCCATTACTCTACCAGGTGATTAATGGTCAGACAGGGGCACGTGTGGGGCCGAAAGGAGAGCCTGGTTTCCCGGGGTCATCAGGAAGGAAAGGAGACAGAGGACAACCTGGTACGTACTCTACCCAACAGGAGATAGGACTTGATTTGTATTGGACACATGCTGTAAAGAGTGCAGTCTCCTGGGTCTTCAACGAAATGAGAGCCTTTTGCGTTCCTTTGATATTTTAAGTAGAAATTGTGCACCAATATTGAATTTTAAAAGCCTGTTATAGTAAATGAAGTGTCCTTTGATATAGACCACATGGAGAATTCAATACATCTGATTTGTATAATTAATAAAGTCTTGCTAAAGTGCCAAAATTCAGCATTTTTACATGTCCCACTGTGGTTTTTTTTTTTTACATGTCCCACCATTTTTACATGTCCCACCAACACTGTGTTACTTCTAGGAAGATTTAAACCCACCTAAACCCACCATCACTGTAAAGCCTAGTTATTTTGTTGCTTTGACAAAGTCATTTCCAAAGATTATTATTTATTTCAAGTGATTAGTGATTCATTTACATCTGTCCCTCATTTAAAGGTGAATATTCCTTAAAAAAAAAAAAATATATATATATATATATATATATTGAACATCTAAGTCAAATCATAGAGTAAAAGCAGGTGAGCTGGTTCTTTTTGGCTATTTTCTGGTGTTTTGTGGTGGAAAACTGAGTGGGTCGAGCTTAACACGTCAACCCATAAATAGATAGGGTAGAAACGTTTTGAACTATCTCGTTATTCCCATCTCTTGGGATGGGAAAATGTTTTTTTTTTAAATGAAGTTGAACATATGCTCTTTATGACAAAATATTAAAATGTGTTTGTTTTTTACCAAGTGACACTTCTCAAAAGGCACGGAATTGGTTTAACGACCCGCCTTATTCATAAAGCGTCTCAGAGCTGATCCAGTATTAGTTTTAGATGTTTAGATCATAAGGAATAAGATTATATGAACACAGAGGACCTAGTCCTAGATCAGCACTACTACTTTAAGAGGCTTGGTGAATACAGAGCCTAACCTAGTTTTCATGGTGACCTTTCCCCTTTGACCCTGTCCTCCCCAGGTCTCTCGGGTCCTCCAGGCCAACCAGGAACCCCAGGTACCGGAGGTGTAGGCCAACCCGGTTCCCCAGGCTTCCCAGGAGAGAGGGGCCAGAAGGGAGACGAGGGCCAGCCAGGCATCTCCCTCCCTGGGCCCCCAGGACGAAGTGGGGCCCCTGGGCTTCAGGGACCACCAGGCCTTCCCGGGCCCGCAGGGGACTCCACAAGGGGTGATAACTGTTTAGGAGGGGCCCCCGGGTTACCAGGACAACAAGGAGACAGAGGGTTTCAAGGAGAGACCGGACAGAAAGGTGTGTTCTCTGTTGTACACTTCCAGAGTATTGTCATGAGAGAGAGGTGTTATGTACAGTATTGTGTTACGGTAGTGTGGCTAATAATGAACAAACAAATGTATCATTGAAATGATCCCAACTGGCTTCTATGTCTGTTACTTACTTGTCTGTCTCTCTCAGGTGACAAGGGAGAAACCTGCGTGAACTGTTTCTCCCGTGGGAACACCGTCCCTGGAGCACCAGGCCCTCCCGGACCTCCCGGGTTCCCAGGTAAGACTGCACTCCTCTCACCTGGTCACCTATCGCCCTACCTGTTTTTTTTATATCCCCACCTGGTAGGGAATAAGACCGATTAGAGAGGAGAAAACACACACCTGATTTGGCAATGTGCAGGCCACCGTAACACAATACTGTACACAACACCTCTCTCTCATCCTTCTCTGCTCCCTCTCTCCTCTCTCCACCCTCTCTGCTCCCTCTCTCCTCTCTCCACCCTCTCTGCTCCCTCTCTCCTCTCTCCACCCTCTCTCAGGTGGACCAGGAGTACCAGGGGCTAAAGGTGATAGAGGATATCCAGGTGGCCCAGGGCTGTCAGGTTCTTCTGTAAGTACTTCCTGTTTGTCACTTCCTGGCTTGAAACTGGTTTGAAGCTCTGTCTACACAACTTCATAGTAACCTACATACAGACTTACTCGGAGCTGGTTTCCCAGACACCGATTAAACCTAGTTCTGGACTACTAAACAAGAATCTCCATTGAAAATGCTTTTTAATCCAGGATTTGGTTTAATTTGTATCGGCGAAACCGCCCCTTAGAGTCTAGAGTAGCCTTGATGGAGTAACTAAATGGCCCCTTCATCTCTCTCACCTCCATCCTTCCATCTCTCTCCATTCTTCAATCTCTCGCTCCTCCTTCCCCCCTCCCCAGGGTCCGCCTGGTCCCCAGGGTGCGCCTGGTTTCCCAGGAGAGAAGGGTGACCCAGGTGAGACTATCGCTGGGGACGGGGTCAGGGGCGACAAGGGAGACACAGGGTTCCCCGGACCCCCTGGCTTGCCTGGCCTGGATGGAGGACCTGGTCGCAATGGAGTTCCTGGACCTCCTGGAGCCAAAGGAACATCTGTGAGTAGTAAAGTGTCCATCTCTCTCCTTCCCTCCATTTATCTATTCATATATTTATTCATCCGTCCCATCCATAACCTCATCCTTTCCTCTCTCCACTCATCCCATCCAACCTTATCTTCTTTCTATCTATCCCTCCTGCTCTCCATCCCTCCCTACCTTCCTCCACCCATCTATCCATCCATCCATCCATCCCACCCAACCCTTCATGTCTCCCTCCATCCCTCTATTCATCCCTCCCTCCCTCCCTTCATCCATCCATCCATCCATCCATCCCATCCAACTGTTCCTCTCGCCCTCCATCCATCCATCCCTTCACCTTTCCTCTTTCCCTCCATCCATACCTCCATCTACAGTGAGGGAAAAAGGTATTTGATCCCCTGCTGATTTTGTACGTTTGCCCACTGACAAAGAAATGATCAGTCTATAATTTTAATGGTAGGTTTATTTGAACAGTGAGAGACAGATTAACAACAAAAAAATCCAGAAAAACGCATGTCAAAAATGTTATAAATTGATTAGCATTTTAATGAGGGAAATAAGTATTTGACCCCCTCTCAATCAGAAAGATTTCTGGCTCCCAGGTGTCTTTTATACAGGTAACGAGCTGAGATTAGGAGCACACTCTTAAAGGGAGTGCTCCTAATCTCAGTTTATTACCTGTATAAAAGACACCTGTCCACAGAAACAATCAATCAATCAGATTCCAAACTCTCCACCATGGCCAAGACCAAAGAGCTCTCCAAGGATGTCAGGGACAAGATTGTAGACCTACACAAGGCTGGAATGGGCTACAAGACCATCGCCAAGCAGCTTGGTGAGAAGGTGACAACAGTTGGTGCGATTATTCGCAAATGGAAGAAACACAAAAGAACTGTCAATCTCCCTCGGCCTGGGGCTCCATGCAAGATCTCACCTCGTGGAGTTGCAATAATCATGAGAACGGTGAGGAATCAGCCCAGAACTACACGGGAGGATCTTGTCAATGATCTCAAGACAGCTGGGACCATAGTCATCAAGAAAACAATTGGTAACACACTATGCCGTGAAGGACTGAAATCCTGCAGCGCCCGCAAGGTCCCCCTGCTCAAGAAAGCACATATACAGGCCCGTCTGAAGTTTGCCAATGAACATCTGAATGATTCAGAGGAGAACTGGGTGAAAGTGTTGTGGTCAGATGAGACCAAAATCGAGCTCTTTGCCATCAACTCAACTCGCCGTGTTTGGAGGAGGAGGAATGCTGCCTATGATCCCAAGAACACAATCCCCACCGTCAAACATGGAGGTGGAAACATTATGCTTTGGGGGTGTTTTTCTGCTAAGGGGACAGGACAACTTCACCGCATCAAAGGGATGATGGACGGGGCCATGTACCGTCAAATCTTGGGTGAGAACCTCCTTCCCCCCGCCAGGGCATTGAAAATGGGTCGTGGATGGGTATTCCAGCATGACAATGACCCAAAACACACAGCCAAGGCAACAAAGGAGTGGCTCAAGAAGAAGCACATTAAGGTCCTGGAGTGGCCTAGCCAGTCTCCAGACCTTAATCCCATAGAAAATCTGTGGAGGGAGGTGAAGGTTCGAGTTGCCAAACGTCAGCCTCGAAACCTTAATGACTTGGAGAAGATCAGCAAAGAGGAGTGGGACAAAATCCCTCCTGAGATGTGTGCAAACCTGGTGGCCAACTGAGCTCCCGAGTGGCGCAGCGGTCTAAGGCACTGCATCTCAGTGCTTGAGGCATCACTACAGACCCCCGGTTCGATTTCAGGCTGTATCACAACCGGCCGTGATTGGGAGTCCCATAGGGCGGCGCACAATTGGCACAGCGTCGTCCGGGTTTGGCCGGTGTAGGCCGTCATTGTAAATAAGAATTTGTTCTTAACTGACTTGCCTAGTTAAATAAAGGTAAAATAAAAAATTAAAAACTACAAGAAACGTCTGACCTCTGTGATTGCCAGCAAGGGTTTTGCCACCAAGTACTAAGTCATGTTTTGCAGAGGGGTCAAATACTTATTTCTGTCACGATCGTCGGGAACAGAGGACCAAGGCGCAGCGTTGAAGGCAAACATACTTCTTTATTAGTGATTTCACGAACAAAACAACAAACGATAACGTGACGTCCACAGTCTAACACAAACCACACTGGAACAAGATCCCACAACCACTGTGGGAAAACAGCCTGTCTATATGTGGTTCCCAATCAGAGACAACCAGCAACAGCTGACACTCGTTGCCTCTGATTGAGAACCACACTGGCCAACATAGAAATACTTAAACTAGAATGGACACAACGAGCACAAAACATAAAGAACACTCACACCCTGGCTCAATATACCAGCGTACCCAGAGCCAGGGCGTGACAGTACCCCCCCCCAAAGGCGCGGACTCCGACCGCGCCAACAGAACACCACAGGGGAGGGACCGCCTTGGCGGCGGATCCGGCTCTGGGCATGATCCCCACTCCCTCTCTAACCCCCCACAGTACCCCTGGTCCGGTCTGGCCCTGTTGGCCGGAGCTGGACTAAACACTGGTGGAGCGGATTGCTCTAGCTCCGACGTGGAGCAGCTGACCGGTACCGGACCAGGCACCGGTGGAACAGGCACGGGCTGTGCCAGACTGACGACGCACACCACTGGCTTGGTGTGGGGAGCAGGAACAGGCCGAGCCGGGCTGACGAAGCGCACCACTGACTTGGTGCGGAGAGCAGGAATGGACCGGGCCGGGCTGGCGACGCGCACCACTGACTTGGTGCGGGGGGCAGGAACAGGCCGGGCCGGGCTGACGACGCGCACCATAGGCTTGGTGCGGGGAGCAGGAACAGGCCGGACCGGGCTGGCGACGCGCACCATAGGCTTGGTGCGGGGAGCAGGAACAGGAGCAGGAACAGGCCGGACCGGGCTGGCGACGCGCACCACAGGCTCGATGCGGGGAGCAGGAACAGGCCGGACCGGGCTGGCGACGCGCACCACAGGCTCGATGCGAGGAACAGGAACAGGCCGGACCGTAATGGGGACACACACCACTGGCCCTACGCGGGGATCAGGAACGGGCCGGACCGGACTGGTAACACACCCCAGTACCGCTCGCCGTGCCTCTACACTTTCCTTCCCCTTTGTGACCAGTGGCCCCCGTAACCTGGCGGCCTCCTCTGCCAACCCGCTGGACCGCTATATCGCGGCCTCCTGCTGCCCCGTCGTCCACGGCGTGAGCCCCCCCCTAAAAAAATTCTGGGCTTGTCTCTCCCCCGTGGACCAGGCCTCCATGGTTCTCGCCCACCTTTCGCCCTTCTGCTTCCAAGTCAAGCCCCTCTCTTCCTCACACGGCTTGACCCAGTCGAGGAGGCGAAGGAGATCCGCTAGAGATCTCCCTGGCGATGGCTCCTGGACACACTGCTTGGTCCAGTCTTGGTGGGATCTTCTGTCACGATCATCGGGAACAGAGGACCAAGGCGCAGCGTTGAAGGCAAACATACTTCTTTATTAGTGATTTCACGAACAAAACAACAAACGATAACGTGACGTCCACGGTCTAACACAAACCACACTGGAACAAGATCCCACAACCACTGTGGGAAAACAGCCTGTCTAAATGTGGTTCCCAATCAGAGACAACCAGCAACAGCTGACACTCGTTGCCTCTGATTGAGAACCACACTGGCCAACATAGAAATACTTAAACTAGAATGGACACAACGAGCACAAAACATAAAGAACACTCACACCCTGGCTCAATATACCAGCGTCCCCAGAGCCAGGGAGTGACAATTTCCCTCATTAAAATGCAAATCAATTTTTCTGGATTTTTTTATTGTTATTCTGTCTCTCACTGTTCAAATAAACCTACCATTAAAATTATAGACTGATCATGTCTTTGTCAGTGGGCAAACGTACAAAATCAGCAGGGGATCAAATACTTATTTCCCTCACTGTATCTATCCATCCATCCATCCATCCATCCATTTCCCCCACTACATAGCATTTTATATTAACCTCTCTACATTCCTCTGCAGGGTTCTGTGTTAGTGAAGGGTGAGCGAGGGCCTCCAGGTGAGCCCGGTCTGCAGGGTCTCCCAGGTGACAGGGGTGCCACCGGATCCTCAGGCTACGGCCCCCAAGGGCCCCCTGGAGAGAAGGGTTTTCAGGGCGTCTCAGGGAGAACAGGAACACCTGGAACACCAGGTATGATATGTTGTCTGATATACTTGAAAACCAGGGATGATGTACACTCTTAGAAAAAAAGGTGCTTTCTAGAACCTAAAAGGGTTCTTCAACTGTCCCCATAGGAGAACCTTTTGAAGAACCCTTTATGGTTCCCAGTAGAACCCCTTTGGTTCCAGGTAGAACCCTTTTGGGTTCCATCTTGAAGCCTTCCACAGAGGGTTCTACATGGAACTTAAAAGGGTTCTACCTGGAACCAAAAAGTGTTCTCCTATGGGGACAGCCGAATAACCCTTTTGGAACCTTTTTTTCTAAAAGTGTAGTAACTGAAATGTTGACAAATGTGAGATACATTGACACACCTGGGGTCCATGGAGGTTGTGTTATTTAATTCGTATCATACTTTTACCATTAGCTTTACCTGCTGCTCTTCTATGACTACAACTTTCTTGTACCCTAATTCCCTAACATTTGACCCTTGGCCTTTGATCCCTGACCTATAGGCACTAAAGGTGAGCCGGGTCAGACGATAGCAGAGAAGGGACTCCCAGGACCCAGAGGACAGGATGGAGACCCCGGTCTTCCTGGAAACTCAGGTAAATAACACCTCACCTTTACCTGCACAGGTTCACACTCACCTGAATGGATCGGCATAGTAGTTTAGCTTTCATCCATAATGAGGAAGTAAGGTAACAGACAGCACAGATGTTTTGTGTTGTTTGGTGGAATATTTGATGTAATTATATGAAGTATACACTAGTGAACTGTTTAGTAGTAGTGTAGTAAATGTTTGCCAAAACTAAGTGTTAATTTCTGTGTCCACAGGCAACCCCGGCGTGCCAGGACAGCCCGGTTTCCCCGGCTTACCAGGCGCCAAGGGCGACCCCGGCCTCTCCAGCATTGGAATGCCAGGACCCCCCGGCGCTAAAGGTAAACACTAAATAGCTGGGCAGGTATACATTCACTGTCACCTGTATGGTTATAATACAAACTTCAAGAGCCGATTTCCGGAACACAGATTAAACCTAGTCCTGGACTAAGAAGCGTTTTCAATGGAGAATCTAGGCTTAAGGCCCTGACAGACACACAAGATGGCACAGCCACGATCTCACGCTTAGCACCATAGCACAGAGTGATTTGAGTGTTTTACAGTAGTGCCTATTATCACAATCACGTACCTGTGCCCTCACCTGTCCCCGCCCGCAGGATTCCCAGGCTCACCTGGTGTGCCAGGTGGTCCCGGAGGTCCAGGAAGACCAGGAGTGGACGGCCTCCCCGGTGAGCCAGGTGCACCTGGAGCTAAGGTACGTACCACAGCCACACTACTATAGATGGATCTTAATACTGTACTAGTTACAGACTAACATATACAGCAATGAGAATCCGAATTGGATAGCATTGTATCAAGCTAAGGTTAAGAATGAATGTAGACAGACCATGTTGACAAGGTCTACATTTGTGTGTGTTTGGGTATTAATTTGAGATTTCTATTTGTGTGTGTGTGTGATAGGGAGAGCCAGGGTTCGGGCTGCCAGGTCCCCAGGGCCCTACAGGCTTCAATGGACCCAAAGGATTACCTGGACCCAAAGGAGACTCTGGTTTCCCCGGCAACCCCGGCTCACCTGGACGATCCGGCTTCGACGGTGTCCCTGGAGCCAAAGGTACAGTTCCAACTTCTATTGGTGTAGTCATTTGGAGTTAGGAGCTTAGGAACATTGAAGTTCCACCTTCACTAAATATATGGCTTTACTGTCAGTGGTTTCAAATTAAAGAGCCTTTTAATATGACAAAGTTATTATTTACTATTTTTATAGATCAACAACATCATACTCTAATCTTGCCTCATTATTTGTGGGCAAATTTTTCCAGACACAGATTAAGCCTAGTTCTAGACTAAAAGCATGCTCAGTGGAGTGTCTTCAATCAAAGTTATCCTTAGTCCAGATCAGTGGCCGTCGGTGCCGTTTAAGATGAGGGAGGACGATCATTATTTTATGAGTATGGCCTTATTTCAATTACAGCATATTGGATGACTGTCAATGATATACAGTGAGGGAAAAAAGTATTTGAAAAACGCATGCCAGAAAAACGCATGTCAAAAATGTTATAAATTGATTTGCATTTTAATGAGGGAAATAAGTATTTGACCCCTCTGCAAAACATTACTTAGTACTTGGTGGCGAAACCCTTGTTGGTAATCACAGAGGTCAGACGTTTCTTGTAGTTGGCCACCAGGTTTGCACACATCTCAGGAGGGATTCTTTCCCACTCCTCTTTGCTGATCTTCTCCAAGTCATTAAGGTTTCCAGCCTGATGTTTGGCAACTCGAACCTTTAGCTCCCTCCACAGATTTTCTGTGGGATTAAGGTCTGGAGACTGGCTAGGCCACTCCAGGACCTTAATGTGCTTCTTCTTGAGCCACTCCTTTGTTGCCTTGGCCCTGTGTTTTTGGTCATTGTCATGCTGGAATACCCATCCACGACCCATTTTCAATGCCCTGGCTGAGGGAAAGAGGTTCTCACCCAAGATTTGACGGTACATGGCCCCGTCCATCGTCCCTTTGATGCGGTGAAGTTGTCCTGTTCCCTTAGCAGAAAAACACCCCCAAAGCATAATGTTTCCACCTCCATGTTTGACGGTGGGGATGGTGTTCTTGGGGTCATAGGCAGCATTCCTCCTCCTCCAAACACGGCGAGTTGAGTTGATGGCAAAGAGCTCGATTTTGGTCTCATCTGACCCAACATTTTCACCCAGTTCTCCTCTGAATCATTCAGATGTTCATTGGCAAACTTCAGACGGGCCTGTATATGTGATTTCTTGAGCAGGGGGACCTTGCGGGTGCTGCAGTATTTCAGTCCTTCCCGGCGTAGTATGTTACCAATTGTTTTCTTGATGACTATGGTCCCAGCTGCCTTGAGATCATTGACAAGATCCTCCCGTGTAGTTCTGGGCTGATTCCTCACCGTTCTCATGATCATTGCAACTCCACGAGGTGAGATCTTGCATGGAGCCCCAGGCCGAGAGAGATTGACAGTTCTTTTGTGTTTCTTCCATTTGCGAATAATCGCACCAACTGTTGTCACCTTCTCACCAAGCTGCTTGGCGATGGTCTTGTAGCCCATTCCAGCCTTGTGTAGGTCTACAATATTGTCCCTGACATCCTTGGAGAGCTCTTTGGTCTTGGCCATGGTGGAGAGTTTGGAATCTGATTGATTGATTGCTTCTGTGGACAGGTGTCTTTTATACAGGTAACAAGCTGAGATTAGGAGCACTCCCTTTAAGAGTGAGAGGGGGTCAAATACTTATTTCCCTCATTAAAATGCAAATCAATTTATAAAATTTTTGACATGGGTTTTTCTGGATTTTTTTGTTGTTATTCTGTCTCTCACTGTTCAAATAAACATACCATTAAAATTATAGACTTATCATTTCTTTGTCAGTGGACAAACGTACAAAATCAGCAGGGGATCAAATACTTTTTTCCCTCACTGTTCCATTCACCCAGCTCAATGTAACATCGATAGGTTTAGGCTACTACATGATACTCTAATTTTCCCTATAATCCATCATGAGGTTGCTACAACCTAGCCTATGAATGAAAGTTTACAACGTACGCTAGGTGCACACTACAACCTAGCCTATGAATGAAAGTTTACAACGTACGCTAGGTGCACAGGTCGAGAGGAATTTTAGTAATCAAGGTGACAGACATTGCCACATTCAATACCGCCTTGCACACTTTTGCCTGCATATAGCTGATCTAGGGTGTAATCACTAGTCCAACAGTTGCAAACAAGACTTTCTATTGGACAAATTCCGGTATGTTTATTCCCGTGTCGTTCCGTTTGCTTCCGTTTAAGAAACGTTTTTCAACATAATCGGCGGAATGAATACACCCCTGATCACACGCAAACACAGTTCACTTTCATAGCAGCCTTTGATTGTTGTATAATTTCTTTGCGCACCTTTCTCACCTTTTCCCTTCCCTTGTGGACTTCAGTGCACAACACGTCAGCTGTCTATGAAAACTTTCCAAGCCAAACCTTCATATCATAATTGCTAACTGCTACACACAGCCTACATCGTTGTCACCATATTATTACGTCATAGTCAACATAGCTACTAGAACTAATGCGTTAGTAAACCCATTACAATCATGCAGTACAGTCAGCAAGGAGTTTAGCAGTTACACCGGCGGGCCCCGGTGGCAATAAATTAATAAAACCAAAAGCTTACCTTGACTTGGAAGAGTTCCAGTGTTCGATAGCCATAGCCAGCTAGCTAACATAGTATCTCTCTATGTTTGAGCCGGGTGTTTGAGTAGGCTAAACTAGCTAGTGATAAAAAAATTTTTTTTTATGAATTTGTTCACAACTGTTCAACTATTGTCTTTCTCTCTCTTTGAGTCAACTACTCATCACATTTTATGCAGTGGTAGCTAGCTGTAGTTTATGCTTTTAGTACTAGATTAATTCTCTGATCCATTGATTGGGTGGACAACATGTCAGGTCACGCTGCTGCAAGAGCTCTGATAGGTTGGAGGACGTCCTCTGGAAGTTGTCATAATTACTGTGTAAGTCTATGGAAGGGGGTGAAACCTAGGTTTTGTATTGAAGTCAATGTACCCAGAGGAGGACGGAAACTAGCTGTCCTCCGGCTACACCATGGTGCTAACCTACAGAGTGCTGTTGAGGCTACTGTAGACCTTCATAAAACAGTGTGTTTTAATCAATTATTTGGTGACGTGAATATATTTAGTATAGTTTAATCAAAAAAATTATAATGTTTCACTATATAAAAAAAAACTGAACTTCACTGAGGAGGATGGTCCTCCCCTTCCTCCCCTGAGGAGACACCACTGGTCCAGATATATAGTCTTCTGTTAGCTAGCTAGCTAGTTAGTTGGTATTGCCATGTTAACAGATGTGTGTTCTGTACCTGTTTGTCTGTCTCCTAGGTTACTCTGGTATCTCTAGTACACCTGTTTGGTAGCTAGCCAGTTGGTATTGCTATGTTAACATGTGTGTGTGTGTTCTGTATCTGTTTGTCTCTTCCAGGTGACTCTGGTATCTCTGGGATACCCGGAGCCCGTGGCCCTCCAGGACCAACCTCCATCGGCTCTCAGGGCAGCCCCGGCCCCATCGGACCCCCAGGACCCATGGGCTCTCCAGGTAAGACAACCTAGCTGACCTTTGACTAGACAAAACTCAGGGATGATTTATAGATGAATAGTTTGATTAGAGATTGATATATAGTTTGATTTATGGAATTTATATCTAGTTGCTTACAGCGGACCTTGTATTATCACCATATTTTTTACGTAATGCTAAGAGTTTCTATCATATTGAACCTCTGCAAAGTCTAATTCATGAGAAAACCATGTAATATATATTTATGTATATTTATGCTATATTTTTCCAAATATAATATTTGGTTCTATTGTTGTTTCAACATGTTAACATTCTGTTGAGATGAGTCAATATGTGTTATCTCGAATGTATTGTCTCAGTCACAGATTGGTATGTGCATGATCACCCTCAACACATACTCTCTTAAATGAAGGTTTATTATGTACAGTATCTCAATGGACTGGCTATGTGGTTCAGGCTATATTGTCACACTTCTTATTAAGAAAGTAACACCATCCCTCTGCAAGGCTTTTGAGCACGAAAGAGTTTGTAAGAGGTTTAGTTGTAAAGGGTTTGTTTCTTTGTTGTGCACTGAATGATGTCACCATGGGTGATCAGGTGACGTTTGCATCTCAGAGAGATGCATTCTGGGTTATCAGTCATCGATGGTAACCATAACCTGATCTTGGGAGTTCACTCTTCTTCTCTTCTTCTTTTGTGTGTTGTCACACACTTGTGAAGCTGTTAGCTATCATCCACCCGCACAATTCTAAGTCCACTTTTCCTGCACTTGTTTTTGCCTGCCACTCAAAATAACTAACTCCTTAGTCACCTCCATTCAGGGCAGTCACAGTTCTGAAGGCTCCATCATCATGTATGTCATGTCGGATAGACGTAGAGCTTTGTAAACCCTCATCCCCCCTTCCCCACCTCTCTTTCTTACTCTGTGATGTTCCTCATCCGCTCCGCCCCATTTGGACTATAGTCTCTATCTGGCAGCTGATTGGTTGATTTGTACTGTATTTCTGTGTGATCGGTTGATTGGTTTAGGGACTGTACTTCTGTTCTGTGTGACATCTTTACTCCAGCTATGAGATAATTAAATACAATGAGGTTATTTGACCGATTCTGGACTGACAAATGGAACCTTTATAATGTGTTGAATAGTCACTAATAATAAGTAGAGCGATTCCACTAGCACTTAAAGTCAAGTTCAAAAAGCTTTATTGTCCATCAAATGTACATAAAACCAAATATTATCTTTGGCATTTGTCAAAATTGACCTTCTGTGAGGTCATAGATAATGGACAGATGCTGATCAGGAAGTGAGAATCTGTCCTGACTCTGTCATTGATTCCTGGCGTTTCAGGATACTCAGGCGCCAACGGAGAGAAGGGAGACACCGGTCCTCCCGGCCTGGGCATTCCAGGGTTGCCAGGCGACAGAGGAAGTCCCGGTTTCCCCGGCAACCCCGGGGGAGTTGGACCACAGGGTAACCCTGGCAGCCCCGGCCGAGACGGACTGCCTGGCCTGCCCGGTAGGATAACAGACCGACACCAACATCAAACCTGCCTAATCTATGTGTCTGTTTTAGTCTCTGTCTGTCTAGTTTTAAATATTTTTCTGTGTTATGAATGGACTGTTAGAAATCAGAGTCTATGGCTGGTATACATAGGCAGCCCAATTCTGATCTTTTGCCCAATTAATGGCAAAAGACCTGATCTGATTGGTCAAAGACTAATTAGTGGCATAAGGTCAGAATTGGGCTGCCTGTGATAACGCAGCCTATTTGTTTATTTCAGTCTTGTCTATATCTGGTTACGTCTCTGACTGGCTGTCTACACATTGTTGTTACTCTATTTCCATCTCAAATGGCACCCTATTCCCTATATATGAACTCTAGTGAAAAGTAATGCACTATATAGGGAATAGGGTGCCATTTGGGACACACACGGTGTCTCTGACCTTCCCCCTGTCTTGATGGGGAAATGCCAGTCAAAAGTAATGTGTCTAACCTCTCTCACGCTCTCTCTCTCTCTCTCTCTCTCTCTCGCTCTCTCTCTCTCTCTCTCTCTCTCTCTCTCTCTCTCTCTCTCTCTCTCTCTCTCTCTCTCTCTCTCTCTCGCTCTCGCTCTCGCTCTCGCTCTCGCTCTCGCTCTCTCGCTCTCTCTCTCTCGCTCGCTCGCTCTCTCTCGCGCTCTCTCGCTCTCTCGCTCTCTCGCTCTCTCTCTCGCTCAACAGGTGGTAAAGGAGACATGGGTGTGATGGGAGCTCCTGGACCTCTGGGATCCGCTGGGAACCCCGGAGCCCCCGGCTTCCCTGGACCTAAAGGTACACACACACTAGAGCTGGGCGATATGGACATAAATCCATATCATGACAAATTGATTGAATTGAACTTTATAACATTAATGTGCACCACAGTTATTTTTTAAAATATTACACTTAAAACTACTATTACTACTTTTTATGTTGTAGCTATCAGTTGTCCCATTAACAATCACCCATATTAGCAAACTCATTTCATTTCAAACTTTTCACACATTTCTCTAGTAGGGCCATACACTCTTAGAAAAAAGGGTTCCAAAAGGGTTCTTCGGCTGTCCACATAAGATAACCCTTTTTGGTTCCAGGGCGAACCTTTTTGGTTCCACGTAGATCTCTTTTGGGTTTCATGTAGGACCCTGTGTGGAAAGGGTCCTACCTGGAACCAAAAATTGTTATTCAAACGGTTCTCGTATGGGGACAGCCGAAAAACTATTTTAGGTTCTAGATAGCACCTTTTTTTCTAAGAGTGTATAGGTTATTGGTCAGTGTCAATAATATAGAGGTTTATCATCCAAACCCTAACACACACAGACACACACACACCTACTATACAGTGTGAGTCGTAGGACAACAGTCGCAATAGACCCAAATATGACCAAGATCACACAGATGCCAGGTCTTAAAATCAAACAAACTAGTCCAAAACATCTGCAGCACTAGCTATAAGGAACCCACACATAAACACACACATTGGTACTGTATGTGTCTTCGATAATAGACCCTCTGACTCTGTGTGTCTCCTTTCTCCAGGTGACAATGGTTTCCCAGGGCGACCAGGTGGGCCCGGTGGTTCAGGTGCGAAGGGAGACAGGGGAGAGCCCGGTGTGCCGGGACCCCCAGGACCCATCATCCAGGCACCAAAGGGTGACAAGGGAGAACCAGGAGCACCAGGTACATCTTTCTCTCTGTCTGTTTATCTCTCTGCCTGTTTCTGACTCTGACTTATGTAGACTGCTAAGAACGCAGCTTTGTTTCACTGTCCTGACAGTTTCATTTGCTTTTAAACTGCTGCTACTCGCTGTTTATTATCTATGCATAGTCACTTTACCCCTACCATTGACTGGGTACCAGTACCCCCTATATATAGCCTCATTACTGTTATTTTATTGTGTTACTTTTTATTACATTTTTTACTTTAGTTTATTTAGTAAATATTTTCTTAACTCTATTTTATTCAAACTGTCAAGGGCTTGTAAGTAAGCATTTCACGGTAAGGTCTACACCTGTCTACACCTGTTGTATTCGACGCATGTGACAAATACAATTTTATTTTATTTGATTCCTGTGTTTTTTGTGTTGTGGAGGTTTGGGAGGACTGTCAGGTCAAAAGGGTATCCCTGGTCTCCCTGGAGACGCTGGTATACCAGGACAGGACGGAAGACCTGGGTTGCCAGGACCTCAAGGTATATAACACTCATACTATCTAGAAACTCATCCTCTAGTACACTCATCCCCCCAGAATGTCCTCTACTGAACACTAGTACACTCATCCCCCCATAATGTCCTCTACTGAACACTAGTACACTCATCCCCCCAGAATGTCCTCTACTGAACACTAGTACACTCATCCCCCCAGAATGTCCTCTACTGAACACTAGTACACTCATCCCCCCAGAATGTCCTCTACTGAACACTAGTACACTCATGCCCCCAGAATGTCCTCTACTGAACACTAGTACAGTCATCCCCCCAGAATGTCCTCTACTGAACACTAGTACACTCATCCCCCCAGAATGTTCTCTACTGAACACTAGTACAGTCATCCCCCCAGAATGTCCTCTACTGAACACTAGTACAGTCATCCCCCCAGAATGTCCTCTACTGAACACTAGTACACTCATCCCCCCAGAATGTCCTCTACTGAACACTTGTACAGTCATCCCCCCAGAATGTCCTCTACTGAACACTAGTACACTCATCCTACCTAGAGATCTCACTTGATAACTTTTCCTGTTGACTTCAATGTGCCTTTCACATATACATTTATAATTGTATTATGAGTGTCTTGCATCTTCAGGATGCTCAACCTAAATGGGCTTATAAAACATGCGTATTTCCAAGTTACACGTATATCTCAAAATATGATTCAACCCCATAATGTCCTCTACTGAACACTAACTCCTAATTTCCTCTCTCTGCTGTGTTCAGGACCCAAAGGAGACGCAGGTATCCCTGGAGGATCAGGCTCACCAGGAGCCCCAGGAGCTAAAGGCAACATGGGAGAGATGGGCTTCCCAGGTGGGTGTTAGACCGCCGATAACCCCATATCCCCACCATCACCATCATGTTCTAGAACCCCATATCCCCACCATCACCATCATGTTCTAGAACCCCATATCCCCACCATCACCATCATGTTCTAGAACCCCATATCCCCACCATCACCATCATGTTCTAGAACCCCATATCCCCACCATCACCATCATGTTCTAGAACCCCATATCCCCACCATCATGTTCTAGAACCCCATATCCCCACCATCACCATCATGTTTTGTTTATTGTCCTGTCACTCTTATGTTCTATACACTGAAATATAATCAATAATAATAAAATATATATATTGATTGCAAAGACTCCCCATAACCCCCTAGACTTGGCCACTCTCAACTCTTTATGTTCATAGAAACATTGGCTATTATGAATTGATATACCTGAATACTTTTCTTTTGTTACAGTAGGTGTTCTGTAACAGTTTAATGATGGAAAAAACAAGTATACAAATACAGTTCGATCCATATATTGATTGCTAGATTAATCACAATTAGTTAGAGTGTTGTAACTGAACTATATTTAGCCGACTACACCAATCTTATTGTCCATTTATGATGATGTCACAGGACCCACGGGGGCAAAAGGAACTCCGGGTCAGCCAGGTCGGTCGGGTGCACCCGGTAGTTCAGGAGCATCAGGGTTCCCTGGAGCTAAGGGAGAGCCTGGTTCCCCTGGCTTTGGTTCCCCAGGAGCTACAGGTCCCAAGGTATGGAACCCTCTACTCTAGAACCCTCTAGAACAGTCTAGAACCATATAGAACCAGAACCGCATAGAACCGTATGTGCCTTTATGCATAAGTCTAGATCTCTGTCCAGGTTTAGATGAGTTTGACCTGTTTCAAAGGGAACTGTATACTCATTCTGAATTATATTTGAGTAATATGGAAAATCTGCTTCATTGATAAAGTTGGTATTGTTATAATCAGTAGTTGTAGAGCTAGTACTATTAGTTTTACTATCAGTATTAGATATATTAGTGTTTTCTATCTGTAATGCAACTCTATTCCTTTCTCTCTCTCTCTCTCTCTCTCTCTCTCTCTCTCTCTCTCTCTCTCTCTCTCTCTCTCTCAGGGTGAGCCCGGTCAGTCAGGATTCCCCGGACAAAACGGAGTGAAAGGAACTCCCGGAACACCAGGTCTTCCTGGGTTCCCTGGCGGCCCTGGCGCCAAAGGCGACCCCGGCCTCCCAGGATTCCAAGGTAACTAACAGTTACGGTGCTACAGTCTAACCACGAGCGTTGGACAGTAAAAGAAGAATCAGGTTTATGGGATTCTTCCAAGCCTTCATCTCATATCCAGCTACCTATGTCATTAAATCTGTTCGGCTGTCTTTCTGGTAATTCCTCTAGGTTCTCCCGGTATTCCCGGGCCTAAGGGTCTTGATGGTATCCCCGGTAACCCCGGTCTCAGCGGACCACCCGGCCGACCGGGAGAGAACGGCCGTGCCGGATCACCTGGGTTCCCAGGGGACAAGGGTCAGGCGGGTCGTGATGGAATCCCTGGACCAGCAGGAGTCAAAGGAGACCCAGGTAGTTGGCGTAGTCACTTAAAGGGGCAATTTGCAATTGCTACTTACATTTTTTTACTTTTAAATTATTCATATATACCCATTGTTTCTAGAATGATATAACTTATAAATGCCTCATGAGCTTAGTTCAACTGTCGTACCCCAAAGTCATAGTCAAACGATAAAACGACATTATCCATAATGGAATTGTTCACTTCAATGATTTTGTGCTTGTAATGGTGATATCATGCAGTAAGACTATTTATTTTATTAGTTGGACGTCTAAAACGAAACTCCTCTTTTTCCCATGATCCTCTTCTCCTGCAGGTCTTCCTGGTTTCGGTGGCCCTGGCGCTCCTGGTCTCCCAGGGTTACCAGGTGAGACTCACCCCACCTGACTGACTGTCTTTTTTACTCTCACACAAACCATACATACACTAAACACTAGCTCCTGAATGACAGACAACCAAACCACTACAGAGAATATACTGTAGCTGATAACCGACTATAGACCATATAAAACTTAAATAGCATTCTCCATTTGCATCAGTCAATTTTTCTATCAATAAATGTCTACAACAACCACTACTACTCTACAACCACCAACATCCTTCAATCACCACTTCTCCCACACTACACCAAATGTTCAATGTTTTATGTTTACTGTATTTATATTGTATATACTGTACGTTGACTTTGTGTAAATTCCTCCGGTTGTGTCTATTGCTGGCAGCACCATTTCACCAGGTCACATTCTGGGTATGTGTAAATGTACTTGGTGAATAAAAGTGATTCTGATAATGAAAGGACCTTTTGTTGTTGCCGTCTGTTCCCCACAGGTGCTAAGGGAGATCTTGGCGCCCCTGGTTCTTCCGGTAGCCCTGGCTTCCCTGGTCAGAAGGGAGAGGTGGGTTTCCCTGGCCTGCCTGGGTCCCCTGGCAGTGTTGGGCCCCCTGGCAGCCCAGGTGTGGCCCTCCAGGGGCCCAAAGGTAACGCCGGCCCCCCCGGACCCCCTGGAAGAGGAGGTATGTTATGAATTGATCACTCCATCACCTTTTAGCCAATGTTGCTGCCTGGTTTTCTGGCCATTTTGAAGTCTGGAGCCTTTTGGTTGGAGTGTATTGTATAGTTAAGAGTTTAAAATGTATGAAGTCATGGACTGGGAAGGAGATTTGATAGATAGATTATTTTTGTGTTCTTTAACATTTTTTTTTTTTTTTTGAATTTTTTAGAAAACAAATTTGGGGGTAGATCAGCTTTAATATTGATAGATAGATTATTCATAGATTTTCTCTCTGACACGTGGCATACACAAACGCGCACACACACACACATTGTATACACACACACACAAACCCAAGTAAAAACCAGGCAGCAAACATGGCCTACCTGCAGCACTTTGTGTGAATGCTTTATGTTAATCCCATTGATTTGCATGAGATGTGAACCTCTTTGTCAATCAACACTGGTCCCAGATCAGCTATATGTCCTGAGCACAAACACACACTGTCACTCAAATCACCATCGTCGTACTGTACTATGTACACTGAGCACTGAACCAAACCAACCGATTGTATCACCACCACCACTATGCAACCAAACGTCCCCCACCCCCTTAACCCCTCACTACACAATGTTGGGGTGTGCCTCCAACACGCACCAATCAGTGTGTCTCCCTCACCGTCTGGGTTCCAGCCACACCCCAAACATCAGAGCATGGAGGGCGACCTCAAGTTGTTGTCTATGTCCTCCATCCATCCATCCATCCATCCATCCATCTGCTTGTCAATCATCTCTCCATCCTTGTGTCTCCTCACCCCCTCTCCCTCCCTTTTCGGTTGCAGGGGAACGGTTCCTGATCTGTCCATCTCTCCACAGGGTTGATGTGTGTGTGTGTGTATGTCCTGTTGATGTGTATGTGTCTTGTGTGTTGCTTGGTGTTTTATATCCTAATTGTCTAATTACGTGACATTGGTGTGAAGCAGACGAACCAGTAACATGTCTAACTATGCATTAGAGAAGGGGTTTTAAAAGCCTAGAAAACTCATGCTTATATTTGTTGGATTCAACTCTGTATCAACAACAAAGAACCTACACTATCTAGAAACAAGAAGTATCACCACCATTATCTATAAAAGTGAGTAGAGTGTTGTAAGTCAAAAGGGTATCGAAGGGTTTTGACTGAACATTTCCTATACAACATTGGTGTAGTCGGTCAAATAGAGCTCATTGGCTGCCCATATAGCATTGAACCCCTGTATTATACAGTTAAGGAATGAACTATAAAGTGGTCTCACTGTAGATCAGTGTCATTTATTACATTATGATTGATTGATTGATTTTATTAGTCAGCTAAAAAAAAATACATATGCACACAGTGCATACATTTTAAATACTTATTTCCATTGTGGTCCCTAGTCCCTAAACCACAACAGAGTTGGTCCAGTATTATCAATAGGCTACTTGAGTCTAGGTAAGACTGAGAAGGTTTGTCTGTGACTCGTCTCTGTTTCTGTCACAGTGATCTGTGTGTCTGTGTGTCAGTCACCTGTCTGTCCTGCATGGGCCATGTGTGTCCATCTGCACCTCAGCACCTGAATCACAATGCCAGACTATAGCACAGAGTTGGGCTCAGTTAAACCACAATTAAACATAATTTAATTTCAGATTGAATTCCAACTCCCTTAGACTTAGTTACATTGGTAATATGTCTAAAAGGGGATCACTATAGGTTTATAATCCTCTATACCAGGGGGTGTCAAACTATTTTTGCCCCGGGGGCTGCATTCGGTCTTCAACGAGGTCCTGAGGGCCGCACTGAAAATCAGTAATATTTTCTCGCAGTCAACATTTGCAAAAGATGTAGTCCTCTATCCATCGTTTTTGGAATTTTCAGTGGTCCCCGACTTTCTAGCTTTCATTTTGGTGATTGTTAGTGAGTTGGACACAGTCAACAAACTATATGAATGTAGGTCCATTATCATTTCTACACAGTCCCCCCACCCCTCGTATCATATTTTTTTACTTAAACCACCTGGGGCGAATTGTTCCCCCTCGCGGGCCGGATCCTGCCCGCTGGCCGTATGTTTGACACCCTGCTCTATACCATCCTCTAATTTGATTTCCTCACTTGCGCTGTACTTTAAGTAAGATCCTTTATCATCTTGATAAAGTGTCTCTTACATTAGAGAGCTACATATACTCGGAGTATACCAAACATTAGGAACACCTTCCTAATATTGAGTTACCCCCCCCCCCCTTTTGCCTTCAGAACAGCCTCAATTTGTCGGGGCATGGAATCTACAAGGTGTAGAAAGTGTTCCACAGGGATGCTGGCCCATGTTGACTCCAATGCTTCCCACAGTTGTGTCAAGTTGGCTGGATGTCCTTTGGGTGGCGAACCATTCTTGATACTGTTGAGCATGAAAAACCTAGCAGCGTTGCAGTTCTTGACACATATCGGTGCGCCTGGCACCTACTAGCATACCCCTTTCAAAGGCACTTACATTTTTGTCTTGCCCATTTACCCTCTGAATGGCACACATACACAATCCATGTCTCAATTGTATCAAGGCTTAAAAATCCTTCTTTAACCTGTCTCCTCCCCTTCATCTACAATGGTTGAAGTGGTTTTAACAAGTGACAACAATAAGGGATCATAGCTTTCACCTGGATTCACCTGGTCGGTCTATGTCATGGAAAGAGCAGGTGTTCTTAATGTTTTGTATACTCAGTGTACATGTACAGTGCCTTCGGAAAGTATTCAGACCCTTGACTTTTTTCACATTTTGTTACGTTATAGCCTTATCCTAAAATGTGTATATATATATATATATATATATATATATTTAAAAAAATATCCTGAACAATCTACACACAGTACCCCATAATGACGAAGCGAAAACAGGTTTGTAGAAATTTGTGCAAACCCTTTGCTATGAGACTCGAAATTGAGCTCAGGTGCATCCTTGAGATATTTCTACAATTTGATTGGAGTCCACCTGTGGTCAATTCAGTTGATTGGGCATGATTTGGAAAGGTGCACACCTGTCTATATAAGGTCCCACAGTTGATAGTGCATGTCAGAGAAAAAACCAAGCCATGAGGTTGAAGGAATTGTCCGTAGCGCTCCGAGACAGGATTGTGTCGAGGCACAGATCTGGGGAAGGGTACAAAAAAAAATCTTAAGCATTGAAGGTCCCCAAGAACACAGTGGCCTCTATCATTCTTAAATGGAAGAAGTTTGGAACCACCAAGCCTCTTCCTATAGCTGGCTGCCCGGCCAAACTGAGCAATCGGGGGAGAAGGGCCTTGGTCAGGGAGGTGACCAAGAACCCGATGGTCACTCTGACAGAGCTCTAGAGTTCCTCTGTGGAGCTGGGAGAACCTTCCAGAAGGACAACCATCTCTGCAGCACACCACCAATCACCACCAGCACACCACCAATCACCACCAGCACACCACCAACCACCAATCAGGACAACAGGACAACGACCCTAAGCACACAGCCAAGACAACGCAGGAGTTGCCTCGGGACAAGTCTCTGAATGTCCTTGAGTGGCCCAGCCAGAGCCCGGACTTGAACCCAATCGAACATCTCTGGAGAGACCTGAAAATAGCTGTGTAGCAACACTCCCCATCCAACCTGACAAAGCTTGAGAGGATCTGCAGAGAAGAATGGGAGAAACTCCCCAAATACAGGTGTGCCAAGCTTGTAGCGTCATACCCAAGAAGACTCAATGCTGTAATCGCTGCCAAAGGTGCTTCAACAAAGTACTGAGTAAAGGGTCTGAATACTTATGTAAATGTGATATTTCCGTTTTGAATATGTAATTAATTAGCAGAAATTTCCAAAAACCTGTTTTTGCTTTGTCATTATGTGGTATTGTGTGTAGATTGATGAGGAAAATAAACAATTGTATCCATTTTAGAATAAGGCTGTAACGTAACAAAATGTGGAAAACGTCAAGGGGTCTGAATACTTTCCGAAGGCAATGTATATAGTATATTATATAAAGCTGTATTGAGCCCAGTACTACTAGCCCAGCTCTGTGCCAGGATAGGTGTCATCCCCAGTTGTGGGGGGATGAGAGCGATGGTATGACATGTACTTCCTGTTTCCTGTGTCTTGGCTCCACCTCCTGTGGTGTGGCCCCTCCCCCTTTGATGACACCTTCGTCCGTGCCCAGGTCCCGAAGGTCAGAGTTCCAGTACCCAGGCATCTGTTCTACTGCATGTTCTCCTGGTCTAGAATACAATACAAACCCTTAACCTAACTATGTTGCTGATTGATCTTGGATCTTGGATTTAGCATTTATTAATTATTTTCTTCCCTTAATTTTCTGATCCTTCCTTTTTAACTATGCTAATCTCACTTTTCTTCTGATTGAATAGTCACACTGGTCAAATAACCATAACTAAAATGATTTAAACTTTTGCTTGAAATCATTTTTGTATGTTTTAGAATGTACAGAATGTGGTAACATACACCTTTGAATAATCAATACCTTTTTTAACAAACACTATTTCTGATGAATGAATTATTGGTTAGCTAACACACAAACCTCTAACACTAAATACTGTAATTGTAATTGTGTTCAACTTGGAATTGACTAATTTCTTGAAAATGTAGTTGATAAACATGAATTTAGCATCATGTAGTTTAAAGATAATAAGTTGTTAGCATTTTTTCCATTAACTTTACATATGTAAGAACTAGCACTATTTAGCTTTTACAAATATGTTCAGTATTAATTTAAATGAAATAATGATATTGAAACACAAACACGACATATGGTTTGCCCTGAGGTTTGGTTGTGTCAGACGTTAGCCTGATGGTGTATCTATCTATGCTAACTCTTGCCTCTTGTTTTAACCCTTCACATTCTGCCGCCCCGTCTCTGCTATACCCGGAATTCTGGGATACCTAGGTCCTCCAGGTTAGAATCCATGGTTTGATGATGTTGACCTTTGTTGTGCTGTTGTGATGAAACTGATCTGTGTACATTTTGTTTGGCCTGGTCCCAGATCCGTTTGTGCTCTTGCCAACTCATTGCTGTCATTGTTGGCATGGTAGCACAAACAGACTGGCACTCAGGCTAACATTTTGTTGGATTGGGTACTACTTAACCATGTTGATGATTTGTTAACCACATTTTACTTTTCAGGATGGGTTGTGAAGCCTAAAAAAAGACTATAGCTTGCACTGACACTGTACATACACAATAATACACCCCATAATTCACAAAACACACTTGAACACACTCATGTCTCCTCCTTTATACTGTATTTATACTGTTTTTAAATGGTTGTATGTACGCATGCAGTTTTATGCTATGTTGACTGTTGATGTTAGTGTTATACAGTAACCATGGAGATAGATCAGCTGGATCTAGTTTTATCTCTTGGGTTATTATTATTGTTGTTTGTTATAATGTCAGGTTGAGGTGAGTGTCATCTCTGACCTCTAACCTTTGACCTCTGTGTGTGAAGGTCCTCCTGGCTCTGAGGGTCCCCGTGGCCCTGTTGGCAGCGGAGGGACCAAAGGTGAGAAGGGAATTTCCGGAATTCCTGGATCGCCTGGTTTCCCCGGAGCAAAGGGAGAATTCGGATCGCCCGGATTCCCGGTATGGAACCAGTCAACTTAGATCCTCTGTAACTCAATTGGTAGAGCATGGCGCTTGTAACGCCAGGGTAGTGGGTTCGATCCCCGGGACCTACCATATGTAAAAATGTATGCGCACATGACTGTAAGTCGCTTTGGATAAAAGCGTCTGCTAAATGGCATATTATTATTATTATTATTATTATTATTATTATTATTATTATTATTATCCTTAGATCTCCTTTCCCCATTGATAGCAGGATAAATGACATGCACAATCATGACCAACTTGCTTACATTGATCCTCTCCTTTCAAATATAGACACTTACATGGGGGATAGGGCTATGGGTTGGTTTGGGATTGTATGAAGTACATTTTAAATTCCATCTGGGATTGGGATGTCACATGACCCTTGACCTCTCCCCTATCATGTGACCAGGGTACTCCTGGCCTTCCTGGTGCCAACGGGCTGAAGGGAGACATTGGACTGCCCGGCGTTCCCGGATTCCCAGGTCAGTCAGGAATAACATTCCCATTCCTAGTTGATCACCAAACATTTCTGTTAAAAAAAAACTTGCGTTCCTATTTTTTTTGTTTGTTCGTTTCGCACTGTTGGCGTTAGGTGCACTTGATTCAGCAGCCCTAGTGCCGGGAAGGCAAAGTGTTCCCATTTTGAACCATTTTATGTGTCTGAAGGTAGAACTCCACCTACCAGGCAGGCCCAGAGAGCAAATCAAGTGCACCTATAGCCCTACCGCTAGCCAATCAGATAGCTCAGATCACTGTGTCTGCAGTTTCCTCACGACATAGACAGTAAAAAGAAGCCTTGAATGCACAGCAAAGTTGATAATATGAGATTTCAAAACTTTTAAAACCCAGACTAGAGAGAGACTCAACGAATACAGCAAAGAGCTGCTGTTTTTATGAGTAAGTTCATGTTTAAGTTGTTATTCAGTACTGTCAACACTTTGTTCAACCCTTTTGTAAGCCATAAAATGTGCGTTCTTCCAACTTCCACTCACGCTACAACCAGCACTGCAGCTGCAATGAATGAGTGTAGCAAAGTGTTTCGATAAGCTTGCGTTGTTATTATTTGCGGCTTGCGGCTTTTTTAATACCGAGGAATATTTCACTTTCTCAGGTCATAGGAGTAACAACATGAATTGGTGCATGAGGCAGAAATAATGCAGTGCGACTTAAGTTTCGCCATTAGCTGGAAGACTGTGTCCCCTTTTCTCAGCAGAGGGAGGGAGAGAGGAGGGACGGTGAGTCAGGTGAGAGGTAGCTGCTCCCTCCCTCCCCTCAGACTGACCATCAGATGCAGGCCAACAGTCCATAGGAAATAAAGTTAATTATTATGCTCACTCAGCTGTGCCTCACAAGTAATACAACAAATGATCTATTACCAGTGTGATCATATAACTAAATTGTGTAAATATAATTTCAAAATGGTCTGAGAAGAACAACATTGGCAGGGTAATTCAAGCATAGTCACTATGCAGTGATAATGTATTGGGCCTATAGCCTACTGCACAAACCTCATTGCTACAGTACTGTTTTGAATTGGTTAATGTTGCCTAGGCTTAAGTTTTTTAAGTCATGTAAAAAACAAATCTGAGTGGTAGGTCTCGGCTTGCATTTTGAAAAGGTTGGTGACCACTGGTTTATGTGAACGTCCCATCATGGGTTTCTCTGTTAACAATATTCCCTCATCTCCCTTATTTCCCTTCTTCTCCACCTCTCTCGCTCTCCTCCCTTCCTCAATCTTTCCTCCCCCTCTCTCCTTCCTCTCTCTCTCTCTACTCCCTCTCTCCATCTCTCCCTCTCTACCTCTCTCTCTTCCCCAGGACCAAAGGGAGATTCTGGAATCCCTGGATCATCTGGTCTCCCTGGAGACCCCGGAGAGGTTGGCCCTGTTGGTGAGTCTTCACCCCTCATCCCCTCTGTACACACACACACACACACATACACACACACACACACACACACACCCTCCCAAACACCTACACACACGCTCCCAAAAACTCTGACTGCCATCTCTGGTGTACCCCACTTCTCTTCTCTGACACCTTTCGTTGTCATCTTTGACCTCAGGCATCCAAGGTGACCCAGGTTTTGCTCCAGCCCCCATCGTGGTGAAGGGAGAGCGTGGCTCCCCTGGCCCTTCAGGTCTGCCAGGCGGCCGTGGCCCCGCAGGACCCCCCGGACTGGAGGGACTCTCAGGTCAGTGGACTGTCACATCCAGTGTCTGTTTGCCACAGGATAGTTATATTCAGTTTATATAGTTAATTACAATTAGCTTAATTTTTACCAGAGGAGGCTTGAAGCTGCAGTTAGCTGCAGTTCGTAATCATAAGCTAGTTACTAGAGCTAGCGAAGAGAGTTTTCCACTTGGAGGTATATGAGGTCACTGATGAGTCCTCTGGTCTGTTCCAGGTCAGCCCGGTCCGCCAGGAGACCCCGGTCCTGAGGGACCCCCAGGATTCAGTGGAGCCTCCGGCCGCAAGGGGGACTCAGGACCCGCCGGACAGCCAGGTAAGATTGTCCATAGCACACAAATAATGTTTCAAATCTCGTTTCAAATCTCTCTTACACAGACCTAACCTTCCATTGTGTATATCAGTTAGTAGTCATATGTCATTAGTCAATAGTCATTACAATACATAGCTCTAGAAGTGTAAAAGAAACTCAAAAAAAGTCAATTTAGTTATAGTATTGTTAATTGAGTTAATTGAGTTAATAATGTTCCTTGTTTTCTGTGTCAATGACAGGACAAACAAGATTGAGTCCTAAGACAAACCTTGGTCAAATACATTGAGGTGCCTTTGATTTAGCCATGACTTTGCACTTTTGGGACTATTCCATTGGGTTCATTGTACCTGCCAAACTAAATCAAGTATTAGAAAAGTACACTATATATGCAAAAGCATGTGGACACCCCTTCAAATTAGTGGATTCAGTTATTTCAGCCACACCCGTTGCTGACAGGTGTATAAAATCGAGCACACAGCCATGCAATTTCCATAGACAAACATTGACAATAGAATGGCTTTACTGAAGAGCTCAGTGACTTTCAACCTGGCACCGACATAGGATGCCACCTTTCCAACAAGTCAGTTCATCAAATTTCTGCCCTGCTAGAGCTGCCCCGGTCAACTGTAAGTGCTGTTACTGTGAAGTGGAAACATGTAGGCGCAACAACAGCTCAGCCGTGAATTGGTAGGTCACACAAGCTCACAGTACGGGACCGGCGAGTGCTGAAGCGCGTAGTGCGTAAAGATCGGCTGACCTCGGTTGCAACACTCACTATCGAGTTCCAAACTGCCACTGGAAGCAGCGTCAGCACAATAACAGTTTGTCGGGAGCTTCATGAAATGGGTTTCCATGGCTGAGCAGCCGACCATGCGCAATGCCAAGTGTCGGATGGGTTTGGCGGTTGCCAGGAGAACGCTACCTGCCCCAATGCATAGTGCCAACTGTAAAGTTTGGTGGAGGAGGAATAATGGTCTGGGGCTGTTTTTCATGGTTCGGTCTAGGCCCCTTTGTTCCAGTGAACATACAATGACATTCTAGACGATTCTGCGCTTCCAACTTTGTGGCAACAGTTTGGGGAAGGCCCTTTCATGTTTCAGCATGACAATGCCACCGTGCGCAAAGCGAGGTCCATACAGAAATGGTTTGTCGAGATCGGTGTGGAAGAACTTGACTGGCCTGCACAGAGCCCTGACCTCAACCCCATTGAACATCTTTGGGATGAATTGGAATGACGACTGCGAGCCAGGCCTAATTGCCCAACATCAGTGCCGACCTCACTAATGCTCTTATGGCTGAATGGAAGCAAGTCCCCGCAGCAATGTTCCAACTACTAGTGGAAGAGTAGAGGCTGTTATTACAGCAAAGGGGGGACCAACTCCATATTAACGTCCATGATTTTGGAATGAGATGTTCGACAAGCAGGTGTCCACATACTTTTGCTCATGTAGTGTATTTCACATTTTGACCCAGATCAGAAATAGTTTGGCCAAATGTTCCTCCATGTTGGAACCGTTATTAATATCAACACAGACCGGTATACATATTTGAATAATGTAATTATTATTAATGTTCCCCCTGCTCTGTTCCCTGTTTTCTCAATCTCACTGTGACAATATCATTATAGCACATCTAACTGATCATTATAGCTAGGGATGTGCATCTTTCCCTTTCAAGATGATTCGATACGTATCTAAATACATGTCTCTACGATACATGAACGATACGTTTTAGTTTGAAGCGATTCGATGCAATTCGGTTTGATTAGAGACCGAATAAATGCGAATCTGAGCTGACTTGTGTGTGTGTGTGTGTAGATGATGTATGCCTATGGTGTATGTACTATGTAAGCACCTGAGCTGAGCCATTAGGGAAACTAGGCATCTACCACCACACTATCACTATCAGACTAGGGGGGGCAATGTAGCCTATGTTTTTTGTCCTGTTACTTTGGTTCTGAAATCACCATCACCCACTAATTAACTTGTTTTGAGCTAGTAATGCATCAATATTTTTACAAATTAGCTATGATATTGCCAATGAATATATACCGTGTCTTCAGAAAGTATTCACACCCTTGACGTTTTGCACATTTTGTTGTGTTACAGCCTGAATTTAAAATGGATTAAATTTAGATTTTGTGTCACTGGCCTACACACAATAACCCATAATGTCAAAGAGGAAGTATGTTTTTAGAACTATTTACAAATTAATTACAAATGAAAAGCTGAAATGTCTTGAGTCAATAAGTATTCATCCCCTTTGTAATGGCAAGCCTAAATAAGTTCAGGAGTAAAAATGTGCTTAACAAGTCATATAATAAGTTGCATGCTACATTTTAATCAGTTTGGGGTTGGGACCGATATGGTGAATCGTTACATCCCTAATTATAGCACATCTAAAGCCTTCTAATCTGATCATTTTTCTGCAGTCTGAACAGCCAAAATATCAAGACTCAGGATAAGGCCCAGATGCAGACAGTTCGAAATAGAAAAAGTTTATTTACAAAAACAGGGGGCAGGCAAACGACAGGTCAAGGGCAGGCAGAGGTCAGTAATCCAGAGCAGAGTCCGAAAGGTACAGAAACGGCAGGCAGGCTCAGGGTCAGGACAGGTAGAATGGTCAAAACTGGGAAGAACTGGAAAACAGGGGCTAGAGCAAAACAGGAGTACGGGAAAACCGCTGTTAGGCTTGACGAGACAAGACGAACTGGCAACAGACATGGAATCAGATATTTCAAGCCAGATTTCAAACCACCTTCGTAGATGGTTTGAAATCAGATTCCTGGCCATGCGACTTGTCTAAACAGTTCAATCTGATTTATTTTCCCTCAAGTGGTTTGTAGACTGTTATTTGGCAGATCTTGTTGCTTGCTAGCTACTCTGTTGACAGTTTGACAAGAACATGTGGTATAACTAGCTTGTTAATTGTTTACAAACAAATGAGGGAATGTGCTAGCAAGCTAAACAGCTACCTAGCTAGCTAGTTGACTGCTGTTGCTAGCCAAAAATGACTTGTTTTGAAAGGTGGATCATCTTAACCTTTGAGGCTTTACTGTTCTACACTATGACACTCTCTGAGTGAGAGGGAGCACGATAACCACCACCAATCAGCCAACACTACTGCACACACACCCGCCATTACCATGACAACTACCATCGCCATGCCAGCAAATGACTAAAGTCTGAGCATACAGTACCAGTCAAACGTTTGGACACACCAGTCAAACGTTTGGACACACCAAAACTATAAAATAACACATATGGAATCATGTAGTAACCAAAAACGTGTTAAACTAATCAAAATATATTTTATATTTGAGATTCTTCAAATAGCCACCCTTTGCCTTGATGACAGCTTTGCACACTCTTGGCATTCTCTCAACCAGCTTCACCTGGAATGCTTTTCCAACAGTCTTGAAGGAGTTCCCAAATATGCTGAGCACTTGTTGGCTGCTTTTCCTTCACTCTGCCGTCTGACTCATCCCAAACCATCTCAATTGGGTTGAGGTCGGGGGATTGTGGAGGCCAGGTCATCTGATGCAGCACTCCATCACTCTCCTTCTTGGTAAAATAGCCTTTACACAGCCTGGAGGTGTGTTGGGTCATTGTCCTGTTGAAAAACAAATGATAGTCCCACTAAGCCCAAACCAGAAGGGATGGCGTATCGCTGCAGAATGCTGTGGTAGCCATGCTGGTTAAGTGTGTCTTGAATTCTAAATAAATCACAGACAGTGTCCCCAGCAAAGCACCCTCACACAATAACACCTCCTCCTCCATGCTTTACGGTGGGAACTACACATGCAGAGATCATCCGTTCACCCACACTGCGTCTCACAAAGACCTGGCAGTTTGAACCAAAAATCTCAAATTTGGACTCCAGACCAAAGGACACATTTCCACCGGTCTAATATCCATTGCTCATGTTTCTTGGTCCAAGCAGGTCTCTTCTTATTATTGGTGTCCTTTAGTAGTGGTTTCTTTGCAGCAATTTGACCATGAAGGCCTGATTCACACAGTCCCCTCTGAACAGTTGATGTTGAGATGTGTCTGTTACTTGAACAAAGCTCATCACTAAGCTAAGGACCCTGGGACTAAACACCTCCCTCTGCAACTGGATCCTAGACTTCCTGACGGGCCGTCCCCAGGTGGTAAGGGTAGGCAACAACACATCTGCCACGCTGATCCTCAACACGGGGGCCCCTCAGGGGTGCGTGCTTAGTCCCCTCCTGTACTCCCTGTTCACCCACGACTGCGTGGCCAAGCACAACTCCAACACCCTCATTAAGTTTGCTGACGACAACGGTGGTAGGCCTGATCACCGATAGTGTGGTGCCAGGACAACAACCTCTCCCTCAATGTGAGCAAGACAAAAGAGATGCTTGTGGACTACAGGAAAAGGAGGGCCGAACATGCCCCCCATTCACATCGATGGGGCTGTAGTGGATAGGGTCGAGATTTTCAAGTTCCTTGGTGTCCACATCACCAACAAACTATCATGGTCCAAACACACCAAGAAAGTTGTGAAGAGGGCACGACAAACACCTTTTCCCCCTCAGGAGACTGAAAAGATTTGTCATGGGTCCCCAAATCCTCAAAAAGGTCTACAGCTGCACCATCGACAGCATCTTGACCAATTGCATCACTGCCTGGTATGGCAAGTGCTCGGCAACCGACCGTAAGGCGCTACAGAGGGTAGTGCGTACAGCCCAGTACATCACTAGGGCCAAGCATCCTGCCATCCAGGACCTATATACCAGGCGGTGTCAGAGGAAGGCCCAAAAAATGGTCAAAGACTCCAGTCACCCAAGTCATAGACTGTTCTCTCTGCTACCGCACGGCAAGCGTTACTGGAACGCCAAGTCTAGGTCCAAAAGGCTCCTTAAAAGCTTCTACCCCCAAGCCATAAGACTGCTGAATAATTAATCAAATGGCCACCCGGACTGTTTGTTTTTACACTGCTGCTACTCGCTGTTTATTATCTATGCATAGTCACTTTACCCCTACCTACATGTACAAATTACCTCGACTAACCTGTACCCCTGCACATTGACTCGGTACCGGTACCCCCTGTAAATAGCCTTGTTATTGTAATTATATTGTGTTTCTTTTTCTTTTTACTTTAGTTCATTTAGTAAATATTTTCTTAACTCTATTTTCTTAAAACTGTATTGTTGGTTAAGGACTTGTAAGTAAGCATTTCACGGTAAGGTCTACACCTGTTGTATTCGGCGCATGTGACTTATCAAATTTGATTTCATTGTAGCACATCTTATTTATTATAGTCTTCATTATAGCACAACTTACTGATTATACTGATCATTATAGCACATCTTACTGATTATACTGATCATTATAGCACATCTTACTCTGCCAAGAACTTTACTCTGCCTGAGTTATGTGGTATTATACAATTCATTGAGTTGTTAATGTTCCCCATGCTTTGTCTCCTATCCCTTCTTTCCCCTGTTCCCAGGTGAACGTGGATATCCCGGTCCCCCTGGTTCAGATGGCCTGCAGGGCCCCCCAGGTCCATCTGGATCTGCCTCTGTGGCCCACGGCTTCCTGATCACCAGACACAGCCAGGGCGAGGACGTCCCCTTCTGCCCAGACGGCACCAGCCTCATCTACGACGGCTACTCTCTGCTTTACGTACAGGGCAATGAGAGGGCACACGGACAGGATCTGGGTAAGGATGGAGACTGGAGTTATATATACAAGCTGGTAAACAAAGACACATGCACACACATGCGCGGTCGCACGCGCACGCACACACACACACACACACACACACACACACACACACACACACACACACACACATAGGAAAGAGAGTTCGAAGCTGGAAAAACAAATTATGAAACTCTCCTCTCTCCACCTCTCTTCTCATCCCTCTCCTCTCCCTCCTTCCTCCCTCGCCTCTCCCCATCTTCTCGCCCCTCCCTTCTCCCCTTCATCTCTCCTCTCACCTCTCCCCATCCTCTCCCTTCCTTCCTCTACTGCCTCTCTCTAGGAACTGCTGGTAGTTGCCTGCGTCGGTTCAGCACCATGCCATTCATGTTCTGTAACATCAACAACGTGTGTAACTTCGCCTCCCGTAACGACTACTCCTATTGGCTGTCCACACCCACGCCCATGCCCATGACTATGGCCCCCGTCACCGGAGAAGGCATCAAACCTTACATCAGCAGGTAGAGAGGGATGGAGTGAGGGAGGGGGAAGGGATAGAGGGACGGAGGTAAAGAGGAAAGGAGGGATGGAGAGGGGGAGGGATGGAGGGCATATAGAGGAGACGAGATACAATAGGAGACTGTGGTTTGATCATGTCTGAGTGTGTGTATTTAACCACTCCTCTATGTGTGTGTGTTTTAGGTGTGCTGTGTGTGTATTTAACTACTCCTCTGTGTGTGTGTGTGTGTGTTTTAGGTGTGCGGTGTGTGTATTTAACTACTCCTCTGTGTGTGTGTGTGTGTGTTTTAGGTGTGCGGTGTGTGAGGCCCCTGCCATGGTGATCGCTGTACACAGTCAGACCATTCAGATCCCCACCTGCCCCAACTACTGGGAACCACTGTGGATTGGATACTCCTTCATGATGGTACAGACACACACACACACACACACACAGCACACCTAAAACACACACACACACACACACAGAGGAATCAAGTTTTACATTTTAAGTGCGTTTAAGCCGCCATATGAACACACACATTTACCTTTCTCCACCAATCCCTCCCACTCCCCTCCTCCCTCTCTCCTTTTATAACAGCACACTAGTGCTGGTGCTGAGGGTTCGGGTCAGGCTCTGGCCTCTCCCGGCTCCTGTCTAGAGGAATTCCGGAGCGCTCCCTTCATCGAGTGCCACGGACGGGGAACCTGCAACTACTACGGCAACTCCTACAGCTTCTGGCTGGCCACCGTCGACCAATCAGAAATGTTCAGGTACGAGAGAATGTCAGAGATTATGATAGGTTTTTTCCCCCCAGTAACTGGTTTATTGAATGATTGATTGGTTGATTGATTGATCCTGAGTAATGAGAAATTACACTGAAAGCATTAGATAATGTAGTTATTTGCTTGAAATGGGTCATTTTCATATAAAATGTAAAGATCTGAGTGGCCATACAGTGATAACAACCCCTGACCTCTAACTCCTGACCTCTAACAGGAAGCCACAGTCGGAGACGCTGAAGGCAGGTAACCTGCGGACGCGCGTCAGCCGCTGTGTGGTCTGTATGAAGAGGACGTAACAGCACAGCGGCAACCGTTGCCGGGGACGACTGACAACGAACATGACGGCGGCGGAGGGGTGGTGATGATGATGTCTCCGTGACAACAAGGTGGAATTCCAATGGTGCATTGTCTTCCGGAAACAACTTAAATGGTGCTACTGTGCAACACAGCAACAAAAGAAAAAACGTTGAAAAAATGAATCTATATAACTTTTCTTCTTTTTTCATACCTCAAGTACTTCAAAAAGAAACACACAAAAAAACATGAAAGGTGCCTTGTGTGACAAAAGTGCATTTTATTTTTATCTATATTTTTATCTTTTCAAATGTTTGATTTTATTTCTTTATTTTTTAAATCTATTTAGATTTTCAGTACAGTACAGAGGGTGGTACTAGCATTTCATTCTTAGACAGATGTGCTCTTTTTCTTTCATTTTTTCATTTTTTTCTTTTTGTGTTTTACAAAGGAGTGGAGTTGTCTCCGTGTTACCAAATCAGCACTTTGACGTTGGAACATCAAAGAGAAGAGATGCACTGATGAGCTTTCTTAGCGAGACTGCGTTTTTCTAGGTTAAAATGTTTATGAAATCTTTCCGTTATTCTTTCTTTTTTTTTCTACTTGGTGGTACTAACACTGCTGTGTCTCTCCCAGCCTGTTAACTCCAGGCCTCTTTTCTCTTTTTGTAAGTAATTAAATGTGTATATTATGTAAAACACCTTTATAGTTGTAAGACATAAAACAGGTACTTAGCTATATAATGAATTTCTGGGTTGTTCTTGTTTGTTCGCTCGTCTTCACTCATTTAATTGATTAATGCACTCATTCATTCACACATTCACTCATTCATTCACACATTCACGCATTCATTCACACATTCACGCATTCATTCACACATTCACGCATTCATTCACTCGCTCACATACACACACTTACTCACAGATATTGTACATCTATAAATGAAACAGTATTTTATATATATATAATATATATATATATATACATATATATATATTTTAAAAAGAAATAAAAAAAAAGTATATACACTTTATTTGGCTGCGGGCGGGAGTTAATTTTTCATCATTCATTATTTTATCTCCAAAAGTAAAACATTTTCACATTTCACAAAACTATTGACATGACAACAAAACTGAGTAAACAGGGTTTCCCTGTCAACCATCAAAGCCCCTATCCTATGATGATCATGTACTGTGTATGATAATGGCAATCACTCAAGCTTTTGTATTAGATTTTTACAAGTCATCTATCGTTGAATGGTTAAATGGGGGGTTCGAAAATTATCCGATTTTATGCCATAACAGGTTGATAATAAAATTCACTCCTGAAAATGTACAGTGAGGGAAAAAGGTATTTGATCCCCTGCTGATTTTGTACATTTGCCCACTGACAAAGACATGATCAGTCTATAATTTTAATGGTAGGTTTATTTGAACAGTGAGAGACAGAATAACAACCAAAAAATCCAGAAAAACACATGTCAAAAATGATTTGCATTTTAATGAGGGAAATAAGTATTTGATCCCTCTGCAAAACATGACTTAGTACTTGGTGGCAAAACCCATGTTGGCAATCACAGAGGTCAGACGATTCTTGTAGTTGTACACCAGGTTTGCACACATCTGAGGAGGGATTTTGTCCCACTCCTCTTTGCAGATCTTCTCCAAGTCATTAAGGTTTCGAGGCTGACGTTTGGCAACTCGAACCTTCAGCTCCCTCCACAGATTGTCTATGGGATTAAGGTCTGGAGACTGGCTAGGCCACTCCAGGACCTTAATGTGCTTCTTCTTGAGCCACTCCTTTGTTGCCTTGGCCGTGTGTTTTGGGTCATTGTCATGCTGGAATACCCATCCACGACCCATTTTCAATGCCCTGGCTGAGGGAAGGAGGTTCTCACCCAAGATTTGACGGTACATGGCCCCGTCCATCGTCCCTTTGATGCGGTGAAGTTGTCCTGTCCCCTTAGCAGAAACCCCCCCCCAAAGTATAATGTTTCCACCTCCATGTTTGACGGTGGGGATGGTGTTCTTGGGGTCATAGGCAGCATTCCTCCTCCTCCAAACACGGCGAGTTGAGTTGATAGCAAAGAGCTCGATTTTGGTCTCATCTGACCACAACACTTTCACCCAGTTCTCCTCTGAATCATTCAGATGTTCATTGGCAAACTTCAGACGGGCCTGTATATGTGCTTTCTTGAGCAGGGGGACCTTGCGGGCGCTGCAGGATTTCAGTCCTTCACAGCATAGTGTGTTACCAATTGTTTTCTTGGTGACTATGGTCCCAGCTGCCTTGAGATCATTGACAAGATCCTCCCGTGTAGTTCTAGGCTAATTCCATGATCATTGCAACTCCACGAGGTGAGATCTTGCATGGAGCCCCAGGCCGAGGGAGATTGACAGGTATTTTGTGTTTCTTCCATTTGCGAATAATTGCACCAACTGTTGTCACCTTCTGCTTGGCGATGGTCTTGTAGCCCATTCCAGCTAATGGTAGGTCTACAATCTTGTCCCTGACATCCTTGGAGAGCTCTTTGGTCTTGGCCATGGTGGAGAGTTTGGAATCTGATTGATTGATTGCTTCTGTGGACAGGTGTCTTTTATACAGGTAACAAGCTGAGATTAGGAGCACTCCCTTTAAGAATGTGCTCCTAATCTCAGCTCGTTACCTGTATAAAAGACACCTGGGAGCCAGAAATCTTTCTGATTGAGAGGGGGTCAAATACTTATTTCCCTCATTAAAATGCAAATCAATTTATAACATTTTTGACATGCGTTTTTCTGGATTTGTTTGTTGTTATTCTGTCTCTCACTGTTCAAATAAACCTATTATTAAAATTATAGACTGATCATTTCTTTGTCAGTGGACAAACGTACAAAATCAGCAGGGGATCAAATACTTTTTTCCCTCACTGTATATAATTGATATGAATTCACATCTTAACACTGGTCTAGGTTGTCCCACTATGTACTAGCGTGTGGTAGGTACGTACGTAATGTTACGTACTGCGAGAATAGAATTGGTTATTTTCTTTCTTTTTCTATTCTATGGTCAACGAGGAGAGCTGTGGGGGGACGATTCTTCCTGTAATGTTGTTGTTTTTCCAAGCTACTTTTTAAATTTGTAATGTCATCATGGGGTGCGTAAAATGTTTATTAATTTCATTTTTGTTTTTTTATGTTATGTTATCCAGAAGTTGTTATAAACTTTTAAGACTGAAAAATAAACCCAATGTCCATCGTTTTGTGTGGAAATAATTTCTCCCCTATCTTGGAAGTACACACTTCCAGTGCACACTCAAGTGCTCTGTTCCAGTCAAATACTTATTTGCCTCATTAAAATGCAAATCAATTTATAACATTTTTGACATGCGTTTTTCTGGATTTTGTTGTTGTTATTCTGTCGCTTACTGTTCAAATAAACCTACCATTAAAATTATAGACTGATCATGTCTTTGTCAGTGGGCAAACGTACAAAATCAACAGGGGATCAAATACTTTTTTCCCTCACTGTACCTGGGTGATGCCACAGCTGCTGAAAAGCACACGAAAAGTCACCACATCTTGGCAGTGGTTAAGAACAGTCCCTGAACGTCTTCTGCCATCTCTGGACACAGCATGCAGTACTTTTTGTAATTCTTCCTGACAGATGAAACAATAAAGCCGGGGCTGCATTATTTGAATCCAAACAGCCAACTAGCTACCTATATCCGTAATCCAAAAAGATAGACTTTCATCCCAATTCTGAAACTCTGAGAGTCAAGAGATGTAAGTGATCAACCGCCAGATCAAACTGCAAAAAAATTATTTAAAAATGCAACAAAAAACATAAAAATAACAAAATTATGTACAATATTAACAGAGCTCGCTGCCTAGGCCAGGGGCTCCGCGGTGTACTGCATTGTTTTCTATATCAATATCGAATCATTTCTGGGTAACAATTAAGTACCTTACTGTAATAGTTACCATTAGAATGGACCAAAATAGCTTTTTAGTAAAAAAAAACTATTTCTCAAGCAAGAGTTTTGCTAGGAATGTCTGGGAGTGGTCTGAGTGGGGAGGGGAAAACTTAAAACTAGCTGTTATTGGCAGAGAGTTTTGGAGCTCTCTTCGTTATTGGTCTATTAGTCTCGAGTTGCCATACCTCCAAAACCACGTCATTGTCACGCCTCCCTTGGAGGTCTGGAGAATTTTGTATTGCAAAAATGTTTAGAATGAGAAGGGGGTAGCTGCATCCTAATATGGCGACCGGAGTATGGGCGTGTGGAAAGGAGTGGGTGTGTTGAAAGGAGTGGCCGTTTCGAAAGCAAGCAGGTAATTGTTCAGCTATTACTGCTACGCCTAACCCTCTGCAAGCTCAGACTCAAGAGACGATACTCTGTCCGAGGTAGACAGTAAGAAGAATCTGGTCAAGTCAGAGGGACATTTTGGGAGAAAGCGGATCCTTGCCTTTTGGCGGATCCATTTGTGGGTTCAGGGTGGGTGAGAAAGGAATTGGGTGCAGTTCACAGGAGGTCGTGGCACCTTAAGTGGCACCTTAATTGGGGAGGACGGGCTCGTGGTAATGACTGGAGCGGAATCAGTGGAATGGTATCAAATACATGTGTTTGATGCCATTCCATTTGCTCCGTTCCAGCCATTATTATGAGCTGTCCTCCCCTCAGCAGCCTCCACTGGTGCAGTTGAATCAGTGAAGGGAACCTGTAGTGGACTTGTGATATTTGTTTGTGTTTCTTCTGACCAGAGGGAGCTGGCGCTCCGTGTCATGCAACTTGGATTAAGATCTATTTATTGCTTTGCTCTTAGGAACAGGGCACCATTGAAAGGAGTGATTTCTGAGGTAGCGTTACAATTGAAGTCGGAAGTTTACATACACTTAGGATGAAGTCATTAAAACTTGTTTTTCAACCACTCCACAAATTTCTTGTTAACAAACTATAGTTTTGGCAAGTCGGTTAGGACATCTACTTTGTGCATGACCCAAGTCATTTTTCCAACAATTG